ACACCTTGCTAAAAACTCACTTTTCCTGTCACTTCAAACACACACACACCATCACCTTGGCAACATCTGTCTCCCCAGACCAAAGGATTCCTCTCAGATGGCTCATTTGTCATGTTAACAGATTTGCTCTTCACTAGGCCAGCCAGTGAAGAGAAAAATTGTTAGTTTATTGGGTTTAGCCACCCCCCCATCTATAACAAGAGTGAAAGTAGGATTGCACATTTTTGCAGGTTCAGCCAGGAACTGCTTGTGGTCAGCACCAGACTGAGCAAACCACCAGAGACCTCTGCAAAGGCATCACACTAAGTTTAGCTGGAATAGAAAAATCCTCCACCCCCCCCAAGCAATTGGAACAAGCCCTTCCCTCTATCTCGGGCAGAAATTCTTCCACGTAATGTTGCCAAGGCCAGCTCAGAAACAAAAATACAGAAATCTGGATCAGCTGCCTCTTCCCAATCTATCACAAGGTTTAAAGGTCTTGCCTCAGCAAAATGTGGAAACCCGTGCTTTAAGGGGGGGGGGGGGAAGGAACCTGACTCAGCTACCATCAGGCACCCAGTTCCCTGGAGAACCAAACTCAAACCCGTGGCAACTGCAGCAGGCTGAGGAAGGGAACAATGGCAAGACAGGTGTTCTAGGCTAATAAGAGCTGAGTTGCTAGGGCTCTAGAACTGGGGCACCCTGCTTTATCTCAAGTGACTCCTGAGAGTTTGGGACCTTTTGGTTTAGAGCTGTGGTTCCTAACGTGGGGCACATGCCCCACAGGGGGGCAATTTGATTTTTAAAGGGGGGGGGGATTTGAGAATGTTTAGACCAAGTTAATGGCCTTTTAGGCTTCCTCCACGTGAATAGGAGTTCACTTTTTGAATTATAAGAATTATATGTAATTGGGGTGGTGGTTCAGGATTTTAGAGATGCTTAGGTGGGGTGTGGCCCAAAAAAGGTTGGGAACCACTGGTTTAGAGGAAAGGCAAGTAAAAGAGAGTTCGTAAAATTATGCATGTCACGGAGAGTGAAGAGAAAGAAGTCCTTCTTCCTCTTTCGTGGGTATCCAGTGGAGCTGAATGTTGAAAGATTGAGGACAGATAAAAAGAAGTCCTTCTTCCGCAGCATGTAGTTTAACTATGGAACTCACTCCCACAGGAGGAAGTGATGGCAACTAACGCAGATGGCTTTTAAAGAGCCTTAGACAAATTCATGGAGGAGGAGAGGGCTATCAGTGGCTACTACATGGTGGTTATGCTCTGCCTCCGCCGAAGGAAGCAGTAGCACTTCTGAATACCAGTTTCTGGAACCCGCACAAAGGGAGAGGGCTCTTGTGCTCAGGTGTTGATTGTGGGTTTCTCATAATAGGGATCCTGTTAGCCACTGTGAGAACAGGGTGCTGGACTAGATGGGCCACTGGCCTGATCCAGCAAGCAGGCTCTTCTTAAGGAGGTCTATTGTGTTTGCAGAACCTCCATGTCCAGGGGCAGTCTACATATGAATACCCAGATAATGGAGAATAACAATGGGAGAGTTGCTGTTGCTTGCGGGCTTCCCATGGGAGCACCTGATTAGCTATTGTGAGAGCAGGCTGGACTAGGTGGGCCTCCGCTGGCCTGATCCAGCAGGCTCTTCTTATGTCATAGAGCAGGGATGTCCAACTGTTCAATCGTGATGAACTGGTCAATCGCGGGGTGTTCCTGGTCGATCCTGGTTGATCGCTTGATCCTGATTGATTGACCAAAAAACCAAACCAAACCAAAAAAACTCAACAACTTTGGTCAATCGAATGGGTAGATCACTGCTAGTGTTTTTGTAGTGGGAGTAGATCGCAGTCTCTTGGAAGTTGGACATCCCTGTCATAGAGGATGAGGCTATTCATGGAGGATAAGGCTATGCTCTGCCTCCACAATCAGAGGCAGTAATGCTTCTGAATCCTGGTTCCTGGGAGCCAAAGAATGGCAGAATGCTCTTGTGCTTGGGTCATTCCCTTAGGAAGGTCAGTGGCAGAACACTCACTTTGCATGCAGAAGGTCTCAGGCTCAACCCCTCACATCTCCAAGTGAGACTGGGAATGTCCCCTGCCTGAAACCCTCCAAGAAACCACTTTCCCCATTGACTGGCTATGCACATATCAAGGATGCCTCCTTTGGAAGAGAGAGGGGATGTTGAAAGTGGTCCAAAACCTGCATCCATGGGGTCAGGCTAGTTCCTGAGAGCTCTGGGGCTTTTCCTCCAATGGATTGTGGAGCTAGGACTTTGGCAGTGGGGTCATTTTGTTCCAACCCCCTGCAATTCAGGGATCTCAACTAAAGCATCCATGACATATGGCCATCTAACCGCTGCTTAAAAACCTCAAAGGAAGTGAGAGTCTACCACCTTCTGAGGGAGTCTGTCCCACAGCACTGTTGAACTGCTCTTGCCATCAGAAAGTTCTTCCTCATGTAGACTGTATGACAGGCATAGGCAAACTCGGCCCTCCAGATGTTTTTGGACTACAATTCCCACCATCCCTGACCACTGGTCCTGTTAGCTAGAGATGATGGGAGTTGTCGTCCCAAAACATCTGGAGGGCTGAGTTTGCCTATGCCTGTTGGTGACCTTAGGCTGTTCTGAATGTTACACTGATAGAGATCACAGTAAGGTGACTTTTAATAAACAGAATCTTAGGGGCAAAGGGAGGCTGTCTTAGATCATGTCAGACCCTTGGTCCACCCAGCTCAGCACTGCACACACTGACTGGCACTGCCTCTCTAGGGTTTTGGGCAGGGAACATTCCCTGCCCCACCTGGAGATGCCATTGATGAAACGTGGGGCTGCCTGCAACCAAAGCAGATGATCTGCAGTGGCTGCTGGGAGCTGGAGTCTGTCTGAAGTTCCACCAATGTTCCCCTTCTTTCCTATTAACTTTGCTTTTATTAGAGATTTTATACTTCTAAGGCATAACCATCAGAAGAAGAAACAGAAAAACATAACAACTACCATTTTTACTCACATCTAATGCTCACCTTTTTTGGCCAAATTACGTTGTGGAAATTAAGGTGCACTTTAGATTCGATGGCACATTAGACTTGAGTCAATACCGTACGTTATTTCCTTTTAACTCCAAACTATCTGCAGGTGGAGACTTTATTTTTCTTGAGTTCAACTTGCCACCTACTGGCTATGTCAGGTGTGCCAACCCCTCTGTGGGAGATGTGCTCCAACACAGCTGTTCTCTTGAAGGGTGGGTGGTGTTTTTGACCTATGCACCATTTCCTGGGAGCTCCTTCAGTTTGTGGTGTGCAGAGATGAGACTCTTAAGAGGGCAAAAATATTGCAAAGGAAAAGAAAACATCAGACAGGATTGGCTGAGGTCTTATTCCAGAGGCAACTGAGTCTACTCAGAATCCATTCTGCTCTGGATCCATCTTATTCCAGAGGCTGGGGGAGAAAGACCGCTGCCTGAAACCCTGGAGAGAGCCACTGCTGCAAGCCAGTGTGTACAGTACTGAGCTAGATGGACCAACGGTCTGACTCGATAGAAGGCAGATCCCCACATTCCTGTTCAATTGAACTACAAGGACTAGAATCGTATTTTATGTTGAAGGGGTAGAGTATGGTATCTCCTTTGCACATGGAAGGCTCAGTCCCCAGGCTCAGTCCCCAGAGACATCTGCACACAGTACTGGTGAAAGACCCTCTGCCAAAAAGCTCTGGAAAAATCAGCCCTTCACTAAGAATCATGAGGTCTGGAACCTTAAGTTTATTTTTAGGGGAAGGGCTGTAGATACAGATACAGAGCACCTGTCCTGCATACAGAAGGTCCAAGCTTCAATCCCTGCTGGCATCTCCAGGCAAGGCTGGGAAAGAAACCCTGCCAGAAACTTTGGAGAGCCACTGCTGATCAGTGTATACAGTCTTGAGCTAGATGGACCTAGTGGCCTGACTTAGTTTACGCCAGCTTCCTCTGTTTCTACACAAGTGGGTTAGACTGAGCGTCCTGTCTTAAGAGCATCCTGCAGTGGAGGCCCTGTTGCACACACACAAAACCTAACCATCAGGGCTAGTAGCTATCAGTAGCCTCCACCTCCAATTGGTCTCACCCTATTTCGAGCTTTGAAGATTTCTGATGCAGAAAGATTGGAAATCTAAAATATAAGCCATTGTATGGACTTCTGTTAATTTTTATTAGATGTTATTTTTATTTAATGCTTTTTTTTGCTATAGTACCTCCTGTAACTATAAGTTTTGGAAAACTTTTTAAAATTTTTTAAATAGTTAAACTGTGGAACTCACTCCCACAGGCGGCAGTGACAGTCACCAAGCAAGATGACATCAAAAGAGGATTAGACAGTTTCATGGAGGTGGAGAGCACTATCCATAGCCACTAACCACAATGGCTCTGGCCTACCTCCCCAGCTGCAGGCAGCAATGCTTCTGGAAACCACGTTAGGGGAGAATGTTGCTCTTGTGCTTGGGTCCTGCCTGCAGGTTTCTCACTGGGTTGGCCACTGAGAAGAGGATGCTGCTCTAGGTGGGCCACTGGCTTGATACAGAAATGCTATTATTTTTTCCTTTTTTTAAAATTATATTTTAAATGGTTGTAACATGCCCTCGGACCTTAGGATGAAGGGAGAGTAATAAGATTATCGCTGCCCAGGTGGTTGGTCTTCCTAGCCTCTTGCAGGAGCGAGTTTTAAGGTTGAAGAATGCCAAGTGTGTTATGCAGAAGGTACCAACGCCACTTCATCCATTTCCAAACGTGGCAAGCCAGCTGCCCTTCCTGGGGTTGGGAGACCCCCTTCTCTCCTCCAGGGATTTTTTTTTGGGGGGCTGGGCTCCCCTTCTTCCCCCAAAAACCTCCTGCCTTCTGCCTGAAGATGCCACAAAGACTTATAAGCGGAAGCTGGAGACCCGATTGTGGACGGAAGGAGAAGGGGAGGGGGGAAGCTCCCCCTCGGGTCTCTTTTTCCATCGGCGGGCAGAAATGTGCCTGGGCAGGCGTCCCCTTTAAGGAGCGTCTCCGCAGCATCATCCAGAGGAGGAGGAGGAGGAGGAAGAAGGAGGAAGATGCGGCAGAAACGGGGAGGCAGCAGGGGCCCCCACCTCGGCCAGCCTGGAAGACCCACTGCCTTGGACCCACCGAGCCCCCCAGTCCCTGCCCTGTCCAGTCTGGCGTGAGCGCAGCGTCTCCCCCCTTCTTTCCAGGGGGGGCTTGGAACAAAAGAGACACCCCCCTGCACTGCCAGAGCCCAGCATGAGAAGGGTTGTGCAGCTGGTACTTTTTTGCCCCCTCTCCATGGGGCTGCAGGTGAGAGCGAAGGCGGGCGCGGATGGAGAGAGAAACGATGGAAGGGGAGGGGGTGTCTCTCCGGCCTCCGAGCTGAAGCTCAGTGCCGTTTGCAGATACTGCGTGGGGGCGGGGGCGGAGAATTGATCTCTCAAGATGGGTTGAGGCTTCGGAGCAAAAAAATAAGGATAAAAAGGCCGCCCTTCTTGCTGGAGATTGTATACTGGGGCGCCGCGCGCCTTTGCCTCTTGCAATTGACAAGCTTGTCAATGTCAAAGGCAGCTTCTTCCCCACCACTGGACCATTTACCGCTTAAGCGCCAAAGGGGTACTTGGGCGTTACCTGGTGCAGCAGGTAAAAAAAAGCAGGAGGAACCTCCTGGGGGCGAAGGAGGACCCCCCCCTGGTTGGCCCCACAAGCAGGTGGAGAACTCCTGCACCAGTTCATCTGCTTTTCTAGTACACCCCCCCTCCTTTTCTGGTTTTTGGGTTTTAGCTTCTACAAGCAGAAGCCCCTGCAAGAAGTGTGTTCACTGTCGAAGCACGTGTATTTATTATTTTTAATGAACCTGGGGGACTGGTTTGGGGGGGGGGAGGGGAGATATTGAGGAAAGGCCAGAGGCAGTGTGGGATGTCTCTGAGTGCTGGAGAATAATATCTGGCCCATTTGGAGGCAGCCATGCAAATCAGCCAGGCCAGCTGGCAATTGCAAAAGGCTAAGAGTTTGAGGGCATTCTGCGCTGCAACATCTCTGGTGCCCAAATGCCAGGCAAATGCTGCAGCAGGGAAACACAAAGTGCCCTTCAAATCAAGCAAGGGTGTGTGTGTGTGTGTGTGTAGAATGAAAACTGGCTTGGAAATGGCAGTGAGACGTCTCTTGAATCCTGCCATTCTCAGGAGAGGGGCAGTAGTGTCCAGATATCCAAAGTAGGGCAAAGGAAAGAGACTTCCTGCCAGAATGGGTGGAGAGGTGCTGCCAGTCAGTGCTGAAAATATCTCCAGAGGATTTCTACTCAGTGGCAGAACAGCTGCTGGGCATGCAGAAGGTCCCAGGTTCAATCCCTAATGGCATCTCCAGGTTGGGCTGGGGAAAGATGCCCTGCCTGAAGTGTGGGGAAGTGTGAATGCCAGTCAGTGTGGACCAAGGGTCTGGCCCTGCAGAAGGCAGCTTCCAGTGTTCCCAACATCCATTGCAGACGATGGTAAGAAATAGTGCGTGGCTGTGGCTAGGCTGCTCTGCTCTGCTCCCAGTGGGTCTGTGCATGTGTTAGAATAAGGGGCATCTCTTTCCCAAGTTCAAAGGCAAATGGACCTATGGGGGCGGGACCAGTTTTGGAATAATGTGTACAGTTCTGGCCTGGGAGCTGGAAAAGGTTCAGAAAAGGGCAACTGAAAGTGGACATGGAGCAACTCTCCTAGACGAAAGGTTGGGGCTTTTTAGTTTAAGATACAACATGATAGAAGTTTATAAAATTGTGCATAGCATAATTCCTCCCTCTCTCATAACACTAAAACTTGTGGGCATCCAATAAAGCTGGATGTTGGAAGGTTCAGGGTAGGGAAAAGAAAATCCTTCTTCATCACCCAGTGCTGTGGAACTCACTCCCACAGAAAGGAAGGTGACCAACTTAAATTGCTTTAAAAGAGAATTAGACAAATTAATGGAGGAAAGGGCTATCAATTATTATTATTATTAGAGGCAGTAATGATTCTCCTGAATATCGGCTGCTGGAATCCACAGGAGGGGAAGAGGTGCTCTTATGGTCAAATCCTGCTTGCAGGTTTCCCAGAGGAGGCATCTGGTTGCCCATTGTGAGAGCAGGAGGCTGGACTAGATGCACTGCATACCATTGGATGATTAGCTCCATTGAATACAAGGGGATTTACATTTGACTAAACAAATATAGGGTTGCATTGTAAGGGACATTTTTTTAAAACTGTTTTGCAACTTCTCCCCACACCCCCCTCACCAAATTGAGATAATCTGGGCCATGTCAATCTAGCGTGTTGGATTTTTTTTTAAGCTGATGAAACAGTGACAAGGCAGATGAAATAAGCTTCGCATGGGGTCATGAAGAGTCAAACACGACTAAACGACTAAACAACAACAACAACATCATATTTTGCCTATTGTGAAAACCTCAATATGGCTACCTTCTTGAGATGCTTTAGGAACTGCGTCTGAAGAGGTACAGGTCATGGTTAAAGAGAAAGGCCAAAATCTTTTATTATACTTACCTGGGAGTAACACCCACTAAACTTGGTGGGATTCCCTTCCGTTCTCCAATTAGCCAAATGGCAACGTGCTTTCTTGCCCACCTGAAAAGGTTAGGCAAGGGTGCCCTTTAACTCTCAGGTCGAAAGGAGAGAGGTACTTATCGAGTAAGGAAAGAAATGTTCACAGCCCCAGAGCCAAATCAGACTTATCAGTTTGCATTGGGAGCATCTCAGTGTAATATTTTGTCAGTTTAATTTCTTTGATGCCTTTTCCAGGAAAGGAATCAAGGAATCTCTGTCATTGAAATACACACAATTTTAAAATGATACAGACAGTTAAAACCAAAGCAGCCCTCCTATTCGCTAAACACATCAGGAGTAATTGTCAGCACAATGCCAAGATTAAAAAACTATCCCACCAAATGTCTGGGAATAGAGGACTCCCAACCTGCTGCTGAAAAGATTATAATTCACCTTTGCTTTGCAAGACTGAGATGGCCTTTATCAGTGAGAGTGGCATGAATTTCCATCCAGTAAGCCCCAAAAGAGGCAAAATGTGCATCACATAACTGCAAAGTCCACAATTCAGAGTGCTGACTCTCCACTGGGGGAGGAACCAGCCAATTATTCCATCAGAACTTATATATCTAAGCTCAACCTTTGCTTGCCAGATGTTTGTGTGTTTCTGGCTGGTGCTGATGGGGGTTGTAGTCCAAAACATCAGGATGGCTCCAGGTTGGTGAAGGTCAAGATAGCTTGACAACCTCCCTCGCCACTGCCAGTCCCAAAACTCACATGAAGAAATCAGCACAGTCAAGTTCCTACCTAAGAGTCACAAAGTAAAATAAAGGTAAGCTGTAAAAATAAATCCAAAATCTGTATTAGGCTAACCAGAAACTTCACAACATAGTGTGCAAGCTTTCCTGATTTCAAAACGTAAATATGGTTACCTTTCCTAGGGGTGGAGATGTTAAGAGTTGTTATTTGTAAGAAAAACAGCCATTGCGTCCCAAATCTGTCTGGAAACTCAAACCTCTAGTCTCTCAGACCTTTGTTTAATTCAACACTTTGTTTAGGACCACAAGAACTAACTGTGCTACAGTCCTCTAATACAAGAACATAGGAAGCTATGGCCCTCCCTCCCTCAATCATGGCAAAATTCTAGACCTCAAAGTTCTGAAGGAAGGTGAATTGAATAAGGCTGCTGCCTTAAACCAACACAGACCATTGGTCTATCTAGTTCAGTATTGACTACACTGACTGGCAGCAGTGGATCGCCAGGGTTTCAAGGCGTCTTCCCAAGCATGGCCTAGGGATGCCATTGGAAATTGAACATGGGACCTTCTGCAGGCAAAGCCGGTGCTCTACCACTGAGCCTTTTACCTAAAAAATAAGGCTCTAGTCCTCATGTTCTAAATAATAAGCCAATTTAAATAAGATGCAGCCCTCTTATCAAGCTGGGCTCATTGTTCTATATAACTTAGTACTGTCTACACTGACTGGCAGAAGCTCTCCAACATTTCAGACAGGGAGCCTCTTTCTCATTTGAACCCTGGTCTCTACCAGGTACTAGCAGTCTGACACTCTAACCAATATGCCATGCTGACTGGCATACTGACATCCAGGCAGACTTTGAAAGAGGAAAAGCAAAAATGAAACTCTAGGTTTACTCCTGAGCTGTTGTGGTGCCAGCAGGGTTTTTTCTGGGCCCGGGACACTGTACGTGAGTTGGGACCTTCACCTTGCCTGTAACCAGTGGACAGATGTGGGTTTTGTGTATATATAGATATATCCTTCCATACCTGTTTTGGCTCTCCTTAAATTTCTTTTGCTCTCTCTTCCCAACCCCGCAGAGCCGTCTTCCTGGCATCAAGGTCAAGTACCTATTTTTTGCCTGGCTGGGCATTTTTGTGGGCAGCTGGGTGGTCTACATGCATTACTCGTCCTATTCAGAACTCTGCAGAGGACATGTTTGCCAGATGATCATCGTGAGTGTCCCCCATCCACATCTGCAAAATTATTTATTATTACTATGATTACAATGGTTAATATTACATCGGAAGGCAGTGGGGTCTCCTTTGCTGGAGGCTAGATGACCCTTGGGGTTCCTTCCAACTCTACAATTCTAGGACTGCATGAATATCAGTTGCTAGGAATTGCAGGTCCTAGGCATTCGGGTTCTACTTCTGGGCTTCCTTTCGGGACAACTGGTCAGCCCCTGTGAGAGCAGGATGGTGGGCTAGATGTGCCATTGGCCTGATGGAGCTGCAGCCAGGCTTCTCTTAAGGTCTATTGTGATAGCATTTCCATTGGAAAAAGTGGGGTGCTGCATGGACTTGGACCTATAATAGATCTGAAGCCGAGTGAGCAGAAGAGAAGCCTGGAACTTTTGGCTGCTGGATAAGGAGCCTTCAGAGGAACTTCGATGGCCAGATGGCTGCTGTTTGCCATCTGCTATTTGCCCAGAGTGGTGCCTTCTAATGAAGAGTTCTCTGAGCTCTGATTTAATGATGGTTCAATGAGGAATGGTCCCAGACTGCTGGGGAAGGAGCAGGAGGGGCTTTTGGCCGCAGTGAAGAAATGTGAGATTCTCCTTCCCCTGACAAATATGACATCCACTTTCCTGCCTGGTTCAGGAGGGAAGGAAGTAACATGGGAACGCATTGCTTTGCTGAAGAAACTGAGCTGTATAATCCTAGAACTGTAGTGTTTGAGGGGACACCAACCCCAGGGCATGAAGCTTACTGGTTGACCTTGGACCAGCCACTGTCTTTCAGCCTTATCCCAGGGAGGGTAAACAGGGGAAGCAGAGCCACATACACCACCTCACATTCCTTTGAGGAAAGGTGGGATATGGTAGCTAACAGCTATTGATTCCTTTGTTTTCTCCCCCTTCTCCTTTCCAGTGTGACCAATATAATAAAGGAATAATTTCCGGGTCGACGTGTAAAGACCTTTGCAAGGATCATACACTGGTGTTCCAGCACTGCCTTTCGTCCTCTCCCACCCAGCAGGTAGGTTGACCTTCCATCGTTGGCTAGAGCAATGGAAAGACTTTGAAGTTGGCACGAGTTGTTGGCAGGGAGCAGGGATGAGGTGGAGACATTACAGTGCTGGGCAGGCTGCTTAAGTCTTGCTGTATGCTGGTGGGAAGGTGGTCATTTAAATTGGTGAATTTGTCCAATCCTCTTTTTAAAACCATGCATGTTGCTGGCTGCAACTGCCTCCTGTGGGAACAAGTTCCAAAGCTTAATCGTGTGCTGCATGAAAGACTTTTTGTCTGTCCTGGATCTTCCTAACATTCAGCGTCACTGAATGTCCATGAGTCCATGAGGGAAGGAGAAAACCCATTCCTCTTTCCATGCTATGTATAATTTTGTAATTTTTTAATCTTATTGCCTATCTTTTTCTCAAAATTTAAAAGTCCTTTCCTCAGAGGGGAGTTGCTCCATCATCAACTCGATCATTTTGCTTGCCATTTTCTAAACCTTTTCCAACTCTACAATATCCTTTTTGCAAATTCCCTACCAGAGAAGAATGGCAAACCAAGCTGATGAACTATTCTGAGATGGCAGAAATGATTGGAAAACTCAGAAACCGAGAGGACAAAAACTTTATAAAAGAATGGGAAAAATTTATAAATTATTTAGGAGACCACTGTAAGCAGATGGAAACAAAGGCAGGATTTTGATTTCACTTGTAGTGTAAAAATTATGATGGATAATATGATTTGATATAAAAAATGGAGTATTGGTGAATATGCAGTAGTAGCTATTTAAAATGATACCCCATGGTGGGGATAGGGGAAGTCTTGAGATTCAGAGAATATCTTTATATATACATTTTTATTCTCTGTTTATTTGTAATTTGTATTTGTAAAGCCAATAAAAATGATTTCTAAAAAAATAGTAATATACAATATCCTTTTTGGGGCAAGGCAACCAGAATAGCACACAATATTCCAAACGCAGTTGCAACTTAGATCTGTATAACAGCACAATGATACTGGCAGTTTATTTCCAATTCCTTCCATGATGATCCCTAGGCCTGGTTTGTATTTTTCATGACCACCAAACTGGCCCAACACCTTCATCGAGCTCTCTGCTATGGCACCAAGTTCTTGCTCATGGTCCACCACGTCCAATTTAGACCCCAGGAGTGCGTGTGTTGAATTAAGATTTTTTTTTTGCCCCAGCATGCATCACTTTACACATTGAGTTGCATCCATCTGATCATTCAGGCCGCCCTTTTTGGAATCTATCTTCTGATATTGACAGGCACAGACTTCAGCCGGTCAACATAGCTGTGAATCCTGTGATGCAGGGAGTTGGACTAAGTGACCCTTTGTGTGTGTGTGGGAGGGTGTCTTCCCTTCCAATGCTACATTCTGTGAACTTTGGGCACCTGTCAAATAAATCTGTGTCCTGCAGATCCAGTTTGTCTCTCTAAGTTACATTCCTCTCCTTCGGTGCAGGTATACAGCGGCCTCTGGAAAGAGAAGGAGGTGATCATCAAATGCGGGATTGAAGAGGCCCTCAAGGCTGATGGCAACCCTGACTCAGCCCCCAGGAGAGATGTGGTCCTTTTCAGCAAACCGACACGGGGGACATCAATGGATGAGTTCAAGGAGATGCTCCTGAATTTCTTAAAAGTGGGTTGGTCACTACACCAGCAGGGTATGGGGGAAGGGTTTCTTGTTTTCAGGGGGCTGAGGATCCAAAACAACAGAGCTAGCTGTTGGAAGTCCTGGAAGGACGGCAAAGGGGTGGGGCTGTCGCCAGCAGGGGTGGGGGTAGCGGCGGGAAGCCAGCGAGCTCATACCAATGTTATTTACTGTTTATCTGCTTTGGATATGGGATGATGTAATACCCTGCTCCTACAATTTTAGGGTTGTTAATGATGGTAATAAAGGCTAGAAGCAAAAGGGGGGAAAAGGAGAGAAAAAAGGAATGAAGTTAAATGAAATGAAAAACTATCTGTCTTTTGCAGTCCAATCTAGGCGACCAGGTCTCCTTCACCAACTTAGTGAACAAGATAATGGCCATGGCGGATGTCAGTCGAGATGGGAAACTGTCGCTGGCGGAGGCGAAATCCATCTGGGCACTGCTGCAGCTGAACGACTTCTTGCTGACGCTCTCCCTGCATGAGAAGGAGCACACTTCCCAACTGCTGGGGCACTGTGGGGACCTGTACGTCACCGAGAAGATCCGCCACACCTCCCTCTATACTGTGGAGGTCCCTCGCTTCCTGCAGCCACTGCTGCCCGCGGCCATCCACAGGGTCCTCCACCGGTGGTTCTCCCCAGCCTGGCCGCAGAGAGCAAAGATCGCCATTGGCCTCTTGGAGTTTGTGGAGGAGATCTTCCACGGGATGTATGGCAACTTCTACATCTGCGAGGCGGGCTTCAAGAACATGGGCTACAACGACAGGCATGACTTCAAGATGGTGGACCTCCGGAAGGTGGCGACAGAGATGACTATCCGGGGCTTCCTCAAAGGGCGCCACTGCGAGCAGAACATGGACTGCACCTACGGGAGGGACTGTGTGGCCCCCTGCGACAAGCTCATGAAGCAGTGCAAGAGCGACGTGGTCCAGCCCAACCTGGCCAAGGTGTGTGGGCTTCTGCAGGAGTACTTGCTCCACGGGGCGCCCTCCGATCTGAAAGATGAGCTTCAGAAGCAGCTCAAGACCTGCACAACCCTCAGCGGCTTGGCCAGCCAGATGGAGGTCCACCACTCACTGGTGCTCAGCAGCCTCAAGACACTCTTGTGGAAGAAAATCTCAAATACCAAATATTCATAGGTGTGGGATGCTGAAAACCACTGCACACAGAGGATCACAGAAAAGGAAGAGGGCCAGGGAGCACTCTGCTCTCCCCCCCTGCCCCCAAAAGTACGCAAGCAGGAAGATTTAGCACCAGGTGGGAAAGGACAAGTGGAATAACCAGTGGGTCCTCCTCCCTTTTGGATGGACAGACTGTCAGTGAAGCAAAGGAAATTGTTTTGGATGAACAGCTTCTGATGTAAATAAATAGTGCTCTCTCTATCTCTTTGGCCTCGTCCTTAGGTTTATATGCCCCACCTCTCCTTCAAGAAACTCAAGGTAGTGAGTGTATTTTATCCCAACAACCACCCTTCAAGGCAGGATAGGCTAAGAAGCAAGCGACTGCCCCAAGGTCAGCCAGTGAGCTTCATGGCTGAGTAGGGGATTTGAATCCTGGTCTCCTTATGCAGAGTCACACCCTTGGGTTCATCTAGCTTAGTGTTGTCCAGAAGGGCTGGAAGCAGCTCCCAAGCAATTCAGACAGGGGACATTCCCAGTCTCACCTGGAGATGCTCCAAGGGACTGACCCCGGGGCCACTGATCTACCACCCACCCCCAGCTTCTGAGCAACTTGCTGGCAATGCCAGGGTTTGAATCTGGGTCTTCACAAGCTCCAAGAGAGCCACAAACCTCATGGCCTCTGGACAGGGTGCAGAGATCTTTTGCAAAATGCTGTCTTAGCATGCTTCACTCCTAGAAACTAGAATTTGCTAGTTTGGGCAATTCCCCAATCTTACCAGTCTTGTCACATCTTACAACATCAACACATTTTTTACTTTTTTAATTCTGCCTGGGGGTTGGGGAGCTTTGACAATCAGATCCATGCCGCACATGACACATAAACACCACCGCTGCACTCTCAAATCTTTGGGTGGCGACAACATCTCATCCTGCAAGAGAAACCCAAAAAGGGATGGCTGGCAACTGATGCAAGCAGAACAACACTGGGGGTGGTCGGTGGGAATTCTTTTGCTAGAGTCCCAGCACAAAAAACAGGGAGAAGCCAGATCCTGGACTAACTTATCTGAGCTCTTCTTGTCTGCTTGTGCATATGACCATATTCATACCAGACATTTAAAAGGCAATGATACTACTTTAAATAGTTACAGCTTCCATTAAAGAATTCTGGAAGTTGTAGTTTGTTCAGGGTGCTGGGAATTAAGAGAGTCTGCTATTCCCCTCGCAAAGCTACATTTCCCAAAGTACTGTGGGATGTGGGATTGCTATATACCGCCTGGGAATTGTAGCTTGGGGAGGGGAGGGAATAGGGGTCTTCTTAACAACTCTGGACAAACTCCAGCTCCCAGGACTCTTTGGGAGCTCCTAGAATTTTATGACTGCACTGGATACCACTTTTAACAGTCTTGGCTTTCATCAAAGAATCATACTTATAGTTTAAGAGTATGGGAGTTATTAGGAGGCCCCTATTCCACACACTCTGGGAAATGCAGGTCTGTGAGGGAGACAGGTGTTCTTCTAACATCTCTCAGCACCCTTAACTATAGCTCCCAGGATTCTTTGGGTGAAGCTATGACTGTTTAAAGTGGTATCATAGCATACTAAAGTATGGTGTGAAGGTGGCCTCTGATCTCCCCCAGAGCAACAATGGCTTTCTGGGATAAAATGATTGCTTATGCAACCCCATCCCCACCCCCCCACCCCTTTTAGTAATTCTATTGTGTGCTTTTAATAGTTTACAAAAGCATCACAATTCAAAATGCTGCAAGCTGCCCACCACAATTTAGGGCATGTCATTTTAAGGACTGAAAGTTAATTTTTCCAAATTTCTTCAGTGAGGGGTCTTAAAAATATGTTTTTGGGTCTGGGGAATTAAAATCTACTATTATTTTTGTGATTGGACAACATTTAGCTTGATCAATCCACATTTCATTAAAAAGCACATAAACTGCTCTCAGAAAACCAAATAATTTTAAGTTTAACTTCTGAAAGTGCCTGGTAATCCTATAAAACTTTTAGTTTCTCTACATAAAACATATCCTACTAAACATACAACATTCCTTTCTAATGTTTTCTAATTACAAGGTAATGACATCAGCTAATAAGAAACTTAAACAAGTTTAATCAAGTCTTGCATTGGTTCATCTATCAGTTCCAACAGGGACAAAACACTTGGGCTTTGTGAAAGATATATTCCTGAGATTTACAGAAAGATCTCCCAGAGTGTCATGATCTCCACCCCTCAAGTCAATCATCTTTCGGACACCAGCTCTTCTCACTGTCATCTGAGCACAAGAGTGTCTGAATTACCATCTTCCTGAATGCATACCATGCTGAGAGTTGGATGGGTGGCAAAACAGCACCCACTATAACCTTTTTTTGCAGCCTAACTCACTGCACCTGAAACAAGATGTGGGCATTCCATCCCAAGAGTATTTTATTTTGATGTTGAACCAGCATTGGTAGTACACACAAAAGATGTTTTCCTCTATCAGTCTTAAGTTGCGGAGGGTTTTGCCTTTAAGGTCATGCTTTGAAACCCATGTGCGACCAAGCCTGTTTGCTGTTCCTAACCACTTTGAATGACTCACTGTAGCAAGTTCAAGAAGGACCAAATCTGTGGGAAGTTTTCCTGTCCTTATGTGTCATCTGATACACATCAGTAGATAGATCTTTTCGAGACATTGTCACTCAGTGAAGTAACAGGCTCTCCAGTCGAGAGTTTGGTGAATGAAGTTATCTTTTCAAGTTATATTTGCTGGCTTTTCATACACTGGTCACATAGCATTGATGCATGAACTCCAATGAGTTGCACTCGCTGAATGCAGTGAAATGTTGAGGACTCGCTTCAGTATTTTTCAAAGTGGTGGACTGCAAGTGAATGTATTTCACACATAGCTGAAAAAACTTCGTTTGGATACTGGTCTGTGCATCATGGCATACTGAAAAATTAAGTGCATTACAGAATTTGAAAAGAAAGCTTTGGGCACTTTCTGAACAATTCGTGCTTGAATGCCTTTATGAACTTCAAAACATGGTTGCAACAATATCTGGCCTGGGCATGCCATCTGGAAAAGTTCATGCCCTGGACTAGCAATAGCTTTAGCAATCTTATTGCTACAGTCTTCCATGCACAGAAAACACTCGATAACTCCTCACTGCTCCTTGATCTTCACCACAAAACACATGCTTCTCCTTGTGACAGCAATCAGGTATACCATCAACTATGACGCTATAGTAGTAGTAGAAATCTCCAAATCCTTTTGCAATAGGCTCACCACATATGCTGCAATCAACTCATTTTGAATTCTATTTGACATATAGCTGAAAACAATAATTGTATTCTTCGTTCCTGTCTGACTGCGCTCTGCAAGAAGATGCATATCTTGAAGAATACAGGTGAGAATCTAACCTATATCGCTTTCATCGACGCACCCAAAATTACCAGAATCAGGTCTCTCAAACGGCTCCGGTTATTCAGTAGACTCTTCATGATTAGTCCCTTGTTGTGGATTGTTGTTGTGTGCAGTTGTTGAAGTTGTCCTGGTCACACTGGTCTTGCCCATGAGCACGAATCCACTGTGAGAGCAACTGACTTGCTCTCTCTCTCTCTTTTTTTTAATAAGATATTTATTAAAATTTCAGAAATAAAGAAAGAAGTTACAATAGTAATAATAAGAAAAAGAAAAAAAAGAAAAGAGAGTAAAAAAAAAGAAAAAAGAGAGTACAAAATACAAAAAAGTAAAAACAATTAAAAACAAATCAATCTTTCCATATCTTGTCTTTCAATCACTTGTTTCCCTGACCTCCTCACACCTCCCCTTTTTTGTATTCCAGTTCAGTAAGTTAATTCAGCAAATCCTTTCCCTCTTTATTTTTATCTTAAACCTTTGTCTTAATATGTAATAACTGTATATTCTCATCTGTTAACAGTCCTTTTTTACATACTCCTTATAACATTGCTGCTAAAAACCCCTTAGCTTCATTCCAACATCATTCTAACATTCATTAATTTTACAGTATTTCTGTAGATAGTCTTTAAATTTCTTCCAGTCTTCTTCCACCGACTCTTCTCCCTGGTCTCGGATTCTGCCAGTCATTTCCGCCAGTTCCATATAGTCCATCAGCTTCATCTGCCATTCTTCCAGGGTGGGTAGATCTTGTGTCTTCCAGTACTTTGCAATAAGAATTCTTGCTGCTGTTGTGGCATACATAAAGAAAATTCTATCCTTCTTTGGCACCAATTGGCCGACAATGCCCAGGAGAAAGGCCTCTGGTTTCTTCAGGAAGGTATATTTAAATACCTTTTTCATTTCGTTATAGATCATCTCCCAGAAAGCCTTAATCCTTGGGCACGTCCCCCAAAGGTGAAAGAATGTACCTTCAGTTTCTTTGCATTTCCAACATTTATTATCGGGCAAATGATAAATTTTTGCAAGCTTGACTGGGGTCATGTACCACCTGTATATCATTTTCATAATATTATCTCTTAAGGCATTACATGCCGTGAACTTCATACCTGTGGTCCATAAATGTTCCCAGTCAGCCATCATAATGTAATGTCCAACATCTTGTGCCCATTTAATCATAGCAGATTTCACTGTTTCATCTTGAGTATTCCATTTCAACAGCAAGTTATACATTCTTGACAAATTCTTAACTTTAGGTTCTAACAGTTCTGTTTCCAGTTTTGATTTTTCCACCTGGAAGCCAATTTTCTTGTCCAAAGCAACTGACTTGCTCTCTGAGCATCTGCTTCTTTTCCCTCCTTTGCACCCCTGATGGATGTACCTGTTTTATTGTTCCAGCTGAGCTAAGATTTAAACAGAGAAAAAATGGAAGTTCAGAAACCTTGTACATTCTACACTGATTTAACAAGTATTGTGCACTTCTCAACCATGCTTGAAAACTATACACGCCTCATTCTCACCCAAGCCCTGCTGGCACAAGATGAACTAGACACATGGCTCCAACAAACATATTGCAGCACTGTTGGCTAATCTGATCTGATGCTACATGTTAGTACTATATACAGTAAAGCAGGTCCAGATTTTACTGTCGAAGCCTTGCAGTGCATACAGACAGGCAGGCATGGTGTTTTGCCCATGGCTGTTTTGCCTAGTAAGTCCCCGGTTGCCTGGGAGGCATAGGGCATTCTTGGCATGACATCATAAGTCTGGCAGGCACCTAGGCCTGGGGCAAGTGTACCTGGCTGCTTCCACTCTGCATGTATCTGGGTCACTATAAAAAAACACACACCCTAAAACCCTAAAGCAAACCCTGGTATTTTTTTAATCTTACAAGTGCAAACTCTACAAAGCTGCTGCTTGGCAGCAAAGTTCTTCAATCTGTGTCTGGAGAACCTGTTGCCAGGCTTACCTTGTGCATTAAAATATCTGTGGCAGAAATCCAGCAGCAACTCTCCTTTGAACAGAAGAAAATAGGGTATTAAACAAACTAATCCACAGACCCTGAAATTATATGCTGAAATTGAAGGCCGCTGAAGGCTTGTGCTGCATTAAGCACAAGAAATCTGCATCCCCATTCCAAATCATATGTGGTTATTTATTTGACCTGGAGCAAGCCAGGTATTCCTGCTTTAGTTTGTAGTTATACAGAATGAAGTTCAAATATCCCTGGCGGATGGACTTTTAACAACTCTGGTGCCTGGGTGAAAGCAAGCTAGATCTGCAGCCTTACATTATAAAAGGTCCTTGTTGTCTGCTCATCTTATCTACTGGAACACAGTTTATAAAAACACTATTTTCTCCTCACTAACCCAGAAACTTCCCAGGTTAAACCCAGCAACATGCATTTTACAAGAGTAAAGAGAGGTGAACTTGCAACTTTGTCAGGCTTTGAAAGTTGCTCTACTGGGTGGGGAAATTGGGGAGGCACTGCCTGGAGCTCAGTGGTGGAGCATCTCCATGTTGTGCAGATGTCTGTCTCAGGTTCAGTCCCTGACCACTCCAGGAAAGGCTGGGAAAGACTCCCTGCCTGAAACTCTGGACAGCCCCTGCCAATCACAGCAGACAGTGCTAAGCTAGGTGGACTGCAAAGGGCTGACTCAGTAGAATGCAGTTTATTGTGTGCCTATTTAAAGGTAAAGGAACCCCTGACCATTAGGTCCAGTCTTGGACGACTCTGGGGTTGCGGCGCTCATCTCGCTTTATTGGCCAAGGGAGCCAGCATATAGCTTCTGGGTCATGTGGCCTGCATGACTAAGCTGCTTCTGGCGAACCAGAGCAGCGCACGGAAACGCCGTTTACCTTCCCGCCGGAGTGGTACCTATTTATCTACTTGCACTTTGACGTGCTTTCCAACTGCTAGGTTGGCAGGAGCAGGGACCGAGCAACAGGAGCCCACTCCGTCACAGGGATTCGAACCGCCGATCTTCTGATTGGCAAGTTCTAGGCTCTGTGGTTTAACCCATAGCACCACCTGCATCCCTTATAATTCAGCCCTTTATTCAGAGCCATGAAGACTAGAAACTTGCTAAGACCCCTCAGTTTTGGACAGATAGAACATGATTTTTGCAGGAACCTTAACATCACATTTGAGGAAGTTGGGGACACCTGTCAGGCTACTAATCATTCTGAATGCTCATGGTTGCAGAACACTGAGCATAGACATAGTCTGTTCCTTTCTGCCACCTACTGACACAACTGCGGCACATCAGCCAGAGCTGCAACACCTGTTGGGGCATGGGTGTCTCAGGAGATTCTCTCACCACAGTTCAGGGAGCGTGAGTTTATTAGCCTGGAATGCTGACCTATGCATTTCCCATCCTGCAAAGAGAAACCAGGAAAGGCGTTTTAATCAGGTCACCTCTGGCAAGGAAGGATCACCTTTGAGAAACCAGTGAGAGTAACTTTGGAACATATAATTAACTTAAGGCGTGTTATTCGTGATTGTATTTGTGTGGCTGGTTTTTGATGCACAATCAGCTCTGCTCAGCTTATCAGTTATGCATCTTACATCTGAATGAACTTTAGGCATGAGAAAAAGTGTGGGGATAGCTCAGCTTTATCCTGATGAAGAGCACTGAGTTCTGGATCAAAACGGGGACCCCTGAGAGCTGCGAGAGCCCAATTTTAATTCCAAGGAGTGAATCTATGTATGACAGGGGAGCAGGACAACAAAACTCCCTCAAACAAAAGTTTATACATAGGATAGGAATTCAATGGATCCCTACCCAGACGATAAAAAATACTGCTCAGAGAGGCCACTTGGTTTTTTGAGGGTGTTGACGTTAAGCTCCTTATTTATCCCTTCCTGAAGAAACTGAGGAAAACCATGAATGTTGCGAGGGAGAGCCTACACCCCAAACTGTGAACAAGGAGACAGGTAAGGCTTCCAGGACATGCTGCAAATACGACTGGTTGATGCCATGCTGAAATCCAGCAAGGCATCAAGGGCAAGCCCTGAAAAGCCTAGTAGGATGAACCAGAGCTTTTCAGCCTTTTCAGTTATCAGGTGGGAAAAATCTGGCCGAGCGTGGAAGACTGTTCTCCCCACCCTCCGAATTTTACAAATTTTATTTATACTTTTCAAGTTTAAACATTTCACTAGTTTTATACATTTCACTAATTTTACAATCATTTTAACATTTAAAAGCTTGACTGACTTCCTCCTCTTTCTGCGGTTCCTTAAATTTATTTTTAATATCCTCTGCATATCCAAATTAACTTAATTTGCTCATTTATTCATCTGCTTTAAATATATACTCTTATAAAACTGCAGGTTATTACAATAATCCTGCCAATGATCTTATCTGTAATTTATCTGTAAATATTCAATAGTCTTTTATAAAAAGTTTGTTACCTTGATTTCTTATTCTTCCGGTAAGTTTCGCCATTTCTTCCTATCCTGCATGGATACCTTACCTGAGGGTAAGCCTCACTGAACTCAAAAGTGTTGCGCTATTATTTTTACGTGTGTGTATATCCCTTATAAACACTTTCACCAGCAGGAAAGAGATAAGGCAGAGAGCAGATGAAGGGATGGCCAGGTACAGTTAATGGCTCACTATCACAGGCTTTCATCCTTTTGTTACGCAAAACATCAGAGTGGGAAGCAAACTGGATGACCAGTTTTAGCCATTTTTTCACTAGGATGGACAAAGGTGAGAAATGGGCAGGAAGTGTTCATTTCAAAGCCCCTCACTTCCCTACTAGGAGGCATTAGTTCAATATTACAGTGGTACCTTGGGTTACATACGCTTCAGGTTATAGACTCCGCTAACCCAGAAATATTACCTCGGGTTAAGAACTTTGCTTCAGGATGAGAACAGAAATCATGCTCCGGCAGTGCGGTAGCAGCAGCAGGCCCCATTAGCTAAAGTGGTGCTTCAAGTTAAGAACAGTTACAGGTTAAGAATGGACCTCCGGAACGAATTACGGTAAGTACTTAACCCGAGGTACCATTGTATTTTAAACCCCCAATTCCCAAGTAGTCAGTTTGCTAGCTTCAACATAACTTATGCAAGGCTCTCAAGATCAGCATACACGTGCTTAAGAACAGGTACAGTGTTCGCTTTCCATTTCTGCTTTGCTATTTAGTGTGGGTTTCAGCGGCAAAATTGCCAAGCTCACTTTTCTACAGGCTTTTTGAAAATAGGTATTTCTGTTACTCTTTAGATCAAGGTGTGTATGTATTTATTGTGAGATGTTGCCTCACAAATTGTATATTTAGCCGCCTGAAGCAGCATTTATATAATAATAATAATAATAATAATAATAATAATAATAATAATAATTTATTATTTATACCCCGCCCATCTGGCTGGGCTTCCCCGGCCACTCTGGGCAGCTTCCAAAAGAATATTAAAATACTATAATACATCAAACATTAAAAGCTTCCCGAAACAGGGCTGCCTTCAGATGTCTTCTAAAAGCCTGGTAGTTGTTGTTCTCTTTGACATCTGGTGGGAGGGTGTTCCACAGGGAAGGCGCCACTACCGAGAAGGCCCTCTGCCTGGTTCCCTGTAACTTGGCTTCTCGCAGTGAGGGAACCGCCAGAAGGCCCTCAGTGCTGGACCTCAGTGTCCGGGTAGAACGATGGGGGTGGAGACGCTCCTTCAGATATACTGGACCAAGGCCGTTTAGGGCTTTAAAGGTCAGCACCAACATTTTGAATTGTGCTCGGAAACGTACTGTCATTCTGTCATTTCTATTTCATATAACAAACCAAGCTTTTTATTCCTTTAGTGTGAAAGCTTAATTTTTGGCATAAGGTTAAAGGTAAACACATATTCATAACAAGTGCATGTCCTAACTGACAGAATCCTAAACCTCTTGTCAGTGTGTGTATGAACACACATGAGTGCTTGGACATGCAGGTGGGTTCAGACACCTACTGTAATAGGTAAAAAGGCAAAGGACCCCTGGCTGGTTAAGTCCAGTCAAAGGCGACTCTGGGGTTGCTGCGCTCATCTCGCTTCCAGGCCAAGGGGGCTGGCATTTGTCCACAGACAGCTTTCTGGGTCATGTGGCCAGCATGACTAAACCACTTCTGGCGCAACAGAACACTGTGATGGAAACCAGAGCGCATGGAATACTGTAACAATACCTAAATGACTCCCACCTGGAAGACAGAGCAAGCCTATTTTCTGCTGCTCCAGAGGGAAGGACCTGAACCAACTGATCCAAATTGCAAGAATGGAGATTCCAACCAACTAAACCTTAGGAGTAACTTTCTGGTGCTAAGAGCCATTTGACGCTGGAGTAGATAAACAGAAGGCAGAATCGGAAAACAGAAAGAGGAGCGCAGGTCAGCAGGTATAAAATGAGAGAAGGAATTCCAGGTAATACACAATGTTGAAAACAACTGGCACATCTCCCCTGCTTCCTTATTTCAACACTGCCTTGAGAAAGGACAGGGTATTTTTTTTAAAAAACCCCACACAAACTAATTAGATTAATTATTCCAGTTAAAACTGTGGAACTTGCTCTCCCAGGAGGCATTGATAACCAACTTGGATAGCTTTAAAACAGGACTGGACAAATTCAGGGAGGAGATGGCTGTCAGTGGCTACTAGCCATGGTAGCCATCCTTTGGCCTCCATGGTTGGAGGCAGTGATGCTTCTGAATACCAGTCACTGGAAACTGCAGGAAGGGAGAGGCTGCTCTTGGGCTTGGATCCTGCTTGGAGGCTCCCCATAATATGCATCTAAGTGGCAGCTGGAGAACAGGATGGGCCCCTTTGGCTGGATTCAGCAGCAGGGCTCTTTTTATGTTGTTAATTAAATACATAAATGCTTCTGTTTGCAAACATATCTTTATTTTTTATAAGGGAAAACATACATGAGGTTGAAAAAAGGGTGCAAGAGAGAAACAACTTCCAATGCAGAAGCAAAGGCATTTGGCCCAGTCTACCACTGCTCTCTACCCATACTTTGGGACAGTCTGGGCTGTGTCTGGGGAAATCTATGGCTCTCCAGATGTTGCTGGACTCTAGCTTGCAGCAGCCCCAGCCAGAGTGGCCAGTGGTCAGAGATGATGGGAGCTGTAGTTCAGAAGCACCTGCACAGCCCAGATGTTTCCCACTCCTGCTGTCCTAGGAAATGCTGTAAGCTATCCTCTTCTCACAATTAACTTTTTCAGACACACGTCCTGCTTCAGAGCTGCTGTTGCTTTAAAACTGATGATGCAACAGTCAAGACCAGGCTTCCTCAACTTTGGCCCTCCAGATGCTTTTTGGCCTACAACTCCCATGATCCCTAGCTAGCAGGACCCGTGGTCAGGGATGATGGGAACTGTAGTCTCAAAACATCTGGAGGGCTGAGGTTGAGGAAGCCTGGTCAAGAAGTACAGCAAAGGCGAGGCGGAATGGCACGTCTTGTGGGGTTGAAGGAAAGTTATTGCACTCTAGGCGGAAGTTTCCTGGGAAAATAACCTCAGAGTTATACGTGGTATGCATCCATTTGCTTTCTTGCAAGCATGCTTTGAATCACAATTAAACACACACAATTAAAGCAATCTCTTACCACTCTAAACATTCACGGCTTCCCCCAAAAGAATCCTGGAAGCTATAGTGTGTTAAGGGTGCTGAGAGCTGTTAGGAGACACCCTCCACCCTATTCAGATCTACAATTCCCAGAGTGATTTATTTAACAATAAATCCTTGTTCACAGGGAATGCTTGAGAATTATAGTTCTGGGAGGGGGAACAGCATGGTCTCTTTTTAACTCGCAGCAATCTGAACACACTACAGTTCTCAGGATTCTTTGGGGGAAGTTGCAGCTGTTTGAAGTGGTGTGAAGAATGCTTTGAAATGTATGGACAGGACCTAACACAAGCCACATTCACACCAGATGTTTGAAGTGTTGTGATACCACTTCAAACAGTCATGGATTTACTCAGAGCATCCTGGGAACTTTAGCTTGTTCAGGGTGCTGAGAGTTAGGAGACCCCTCTTCCCTCCCACAGAGCTATAATTTCCAGACCTCCCTGGGAAGACGGATTGACTGTTAAACCACTCTGCAAATTGTAGCTCTGGGAGGGGAATAGGGGGCCTCCTAGCAACTCTCAGCAGTCTTAACAAACCACAGTTCAGAGGATTCTTTTGAGAAACCATGGCTCTAAAATGGTACCATGGTGTTTTAAACACATGCTGTGAATGTGGCTCAGTTACCTGTAGCCAAAACAGTCTGACAGATTTTGCACCTGGGACTAGCTAGTGAATTTTTCAATGGGGGTGGTGGTTTCCCACCAAGCTGCTCCGGCCTCCTTAGCAAGGCTTGTCCTGCCCTCTGCACAAGACCTCCATCTGCCTTCGCTTGTCCTTCGCTCTCATGATGGTCATCTTGAAGAGCCGGAGGTAGAGCTCGACAGCCGAGGGGGTGTCGTCATTACCCGGAATGGGGTAGGTGATGAGGGTTGGGTTGCAGTTCGTGTCTACCACGCCCACTGTGGGGATGTTCATCTTAGCTGCGTCCCGGATGGCCATGTGGGGCTCGAAGACGTTGGTGAGGGTGTTAGTGAGGATGATGAGGTCAGGCAGGCGGACACCCAGCCCATACTGGACATCGGCATTGGTCATCAGGCCGCCCTGCCAGTAGCGAGTGTGAGCATATTCGCCGCATTCCTTGGCGGTGGCCTCTATCCGGTGGGAAAACTGACGGTTCCGGCTGATGAAGAGGATTATGCCTTTGCGGTAGGCGACGTGAGCCATGAAGTTGAGAGCCAGCTGGAGGTGTACCATCGTCTGCTCCAGGTTGATGATGTCCTGATCGAGGCGGCACCCAAAAATGTATGGCTCCATGAATCTGTAGGAGACAGAGGCCAAACATGAGCAGTGGTGGGGATTGGTTTCTGGTCTTCGTAAAGCCATGGGAGACTTGACACATCTCTCTCTCTTTTTCATGTATGTGTATATCTATCTATCTATCTATCTATCTATCTATCTATCTATCATCTCTCTATCTACTAGAACATAAAGCCCTTCACAACTTGGGACCAGTCAACCTGCAGGGTGTCTTAATGCATGAGAACCAGTGTGGTGTAGTGGTTAGAGTGTAGGACAAGGACCGCCCCCCCCCCCGCACTCGGCCATCAGGTGATCTTGGGCCAGTCACTCGCTCTCAGCCTAACCTACCTCACAGGGTTGTTGTGAGGATGAAATGCGGAGGAGATGCTTGAGCCCATTCATTTCGGTGGTTCTAGGATGAGAAAAACTGCCACAGGCTGAAATCCATTAACTCAGTCTTTAATTGAGAATGATGAGAACTAGAATCTTATTTAGTGTCTAAGAAAAAGACCATGGCTCAGTGCCATGGCATCTGCTTTGCGTGCAGGAGGCCCCAGGTTCAGTCTCCAATGGCATCTTCGGGTAGGGCAGGGAATGTTCTGTCTGAAAACCTGGCAAGTCACAGCTGCCAGATAGTGTAAACAATACTGAGCTAGATGGGCAACTGGCTTGCCTCGGTACAAGGCAGTTCTTATATCCCTATTTCATCCAACTTTTTCTGCAGAATGATGAGGACTAGAGTTTTATTTTCTTATTAGGGGAAGGGCCACTTCTCAGCCAAGAATGTCCCCTGCCTGAAATCCTGGAGAGCTGCTGCCAGTCAGTGTAGGCAGTGTACAGTGTTGACAGTACTAAGCCAGATGGACCTTTGCTTCTGTTTGATTCAGCCCTTTCTTCAGAACCATGAGGCCTAGAATATTATTTTATTTTTAGGAGACAAGCCATAGCTATGGATCAAGAGTCTGACATGCTATTAAGGCATTGTTCACAAGAAAACTGGTGGAATCACTGACCTGTGACGGCAACCCTTCTTGTGGCCCAGGTGGACTCTGGCATCAAAGAGGTCCCTTAAGGAGAAGAGCTCTTGCACGTTGAAGAAATCAGGGTTTTTCAGGGGCTCCCCTAGGAGCCTGTCATAATCAACTGAAAGAGGGGGGGAAAGTGGTTAATTGGCTCAAACTCAGTTGCCAAATGACATAGCACAAGAGCAGAGGAAATCTTTGGGAATTGCATCAAAACCTTGCACAAAAACATCACAGCTCCTCTTGATTTGCCAGCTATTCGCCCCACAACCCTTTCGATTTGTGACTGGAGTGGCTTTGAATCCCAGGGCCAAATCCAGCGCTCCCATCAGCAGCAATCCCACCCTCCTCTTTCCCCAGTGATGCTCACCAGTGGGAGCTTCTTCTGGACTTGTTGCTGGAAGAGTCGTATAAAGCCTCTGAAGGGTGGGAGGAGTCTTGGTCCAAGTGCCCAAGCTGCAAAGTCTGGGGAGGACTGATCCAAGCAGAGAGTAGAGAGAAACCGGGGGGGGGGGGGTGAGGGTAAGGGGATACCACAATTTTGTAGAAGGTAAGTCACAACAAACTTCTGAAATAGGCGGGCATGGTAGCTAAGTCTGTTGGAAGATTCAGGACAGATGAAAGTACTTCTTGGCGCAGCACAGAATTTATGCAGGAATCTCAACTAAAATATACATGACAGATGGTCATCCAACCTCTGCTTAAAAACCTCCAGGGAGAACCCACCACCTCGAGGGAGCCTCTTCCACTGTTGAACAGTTCTTACAGTCATAATGCTCTTCCTGATGCTTAGCTTGTCTTCTAAACTTGTATCCATTGATTTGGTTCCCAGCCTCTGGAGCAAGAGAAAACAAGCTTGCTCCACCTTCCATGTGACAGCCCTTTAGATAACTGAAGATGGCTATCATACGTCCTCTCGGTCTCCTCTTTTCCAGGCTAAATATACCCAATTCCCTCAACTGTTCACCATAAGGCTTGGTTTCCAGACCCTTCATCATCTTGGTCACCCTTCTCTGTGCACACTGTCAATATCCTTCTTAAATGGTATTGCCCAGAACTGGACACAGTACACCAAGTGTGGTCTGACCAAGGCAGAATAAGGCAGGACTATTACTTTCTACGGTCGGCACATTATACTTTCGTTGATGCAGCCTAGAATAGCATTAGTGCTTTTTGCTGCTGCATCACACTGTTGACTCATGTTCAGCTTGTAGTCTTATATGTCTCCAAGATCCTTTTCACACATACTACTGGCAAGGCAGGTGTCCTCTATCTTATATTTGTCCAGGTCCAGAGGGAGTCAATCTAGATCCCTAGGTTTTTAGGGAAGTTTGGCCACTGCCTGAAAAGGATGCTGGACTAGATGGGCCCCCCTTGGCCTAATCCAGCAGCCAGGCACTTCTTAAGTCCTCAAGTCTGCATTATGGTTTGTAGCCCCGTCTCCAATTTCCTTCCCTACAGAAGAGTATGAGAACCCCCTAACCCCGATTCAGCAGTTCTGGAGCATGTACAACGTGCTTTTTTCCTTTCCGTACACGCGTGCACGCGGGGCTTGGGTTCTAAATCGCGCTTGGAGGCAGGCAATTTTGCACTTCCTCCGTCTCCTGCGTTGCAGGCGTAAAAACTGCTTTGCGCGGGGCGCCCAGCGGGGGGGAACCTTTGCCCGCCGCGTTTGCAGTTCCTTTTTCTTACCTGCCGCTGCTCCTCGAAGGACCCTGGGCGCCGCCATCATGCCTCTCCTGGCCGCAGGAAGGAAGGAAGGAAGGTCGGAGGGAGGGAGGGAGGGAGGGAGGGAGGAAGAGGCCGCCTGTCCTTGCCCGTAGCAGCTCCACCTGCTGTTGCAAAAGCGCAAAGCGGACTCAAACGCAATTCCCTCCCCGCCAATGCAGCTTTACAGAACGAAGTGAATCGTGCGCGGTGAATGCGGATCTCCAAGGCCCTTTTTTTTGGTCACGCCCGGCTCAGAGACCTAACTTACAAAAACAAGCATTCAAAACAACTTGAAAGGGTCATCAAATAATACATCTTATTGATAGGAACAGGGCAAGCTGCCTTATACTCAGTCAAGACTTTGCTCCATCTTGCTTTGTGTTGACAACTGACTGACAGCTGCTTCCCTGGGTTTCAGCGAGAAAGGTTCTTCCAGCGCTACCTGGAGATGCCATTGGGGACTGAACCTGGGACCTTTTGTACGCAAAGCAGATTATCTACCACCAAACTAGGACTCTTCCCCAAATTTAATATATATATTATTAAGCAGATCCAATTCAACCCTGCCCCACGAAAAGATCAGCAGGAACCGGGTATATGGCGGTATATAAATTCAAACCACCACCACCACCAGGAAAGTCTCTGTCAGTCAGTGCTGACAATACTAATCTAGATGGACAAATGTCCTGATTGGTTTAATGCAGCTTCCCATGCTCTTATTCAGCCTTTTATTCAGAACCATGAGGACTAGAATCTTACTTCATTTTCAAGGGAAAAAGCCATATTTCAGTGGTTGAGCATCTGCTTTGCATGCAGAAGGTCTCAGGTTCAATGCCCACTGAAACATTTCCAGGTAGGGTTGGGGGATGCCTTATGTCTGAAGCCCTGAGAAGCTGCTGCCACTCAGTGTAGACAGCACCCAGCTATATGGACCCATGCTCCTGTTCTAATGCAGGCTTTTTTCAGGGCTAGTAGCTCTAGAATTTTACTTTATTTTCAGGGGGAGGACTATAGCTCAGTGGTTGAGTACCTGCTTTGCATTCAGAAGGTCCCAGCTTCAATCCCCACTGGCATCTCAAGATAGGGCTAAGAACGTCCCATCTGAAACCTTGGAGAGCTGCTGCCAGTCAGTGTCTGCAATATTGAGCTAGATGAACCAGTGGTTTGACCCACTATCAATCCAGAGGTGGAGGTGGGTGGGACTTGGTGGCCCTGTCCTATGTATTATTGTAGCCTTATGAGGCTTTGCCCTCGGGTGGGAAAAATATTGCGCCTGGGAAAGGGAAGTGGGAGTCAACAGACACTCAAGGAATACTTTCGGAGAAAAGGCTTTTTATTTCTACCATCCATGAACTGGTAGGAGCAAGTGTGATAGTTCACAAAAAGCATGCACGAGTTCACAATCATGTGCACAAACATATATACCCATTTCCAGTTCCCTCCCCTTTTCCAGAGTCCTGCCCCATGAGTTCCTCTGAGCATGAACAGAAAGCTGTCTTGGGACTATTGGGACTCTTGGCACCCTTCCCAGGAAAGGGGTTTCAGAGTGTTCAGATATGTTTCAATCTCTTGTTCTGGCATGGTTCCCGGACAGAAAGTAAGTTGCAGTGTGGTTCTTTAGCAAGGCCAGAAGGCATGAGAAAGGCCTGAGAAACAATGGACTGTTCTCTACCTTTGTTACAGCAGAGCGGAATGTTTCTGATGCTTAGCTGCTGAGAAAATGATTTTGAGAAGCTTTGAGCCTGCTTTGGTGGGGGGTGACTTTGGGCCTAGGTGAGGTCACCTGTCCTCACCTTCCTTCATTATGTATTTGATTTACAGCCCATCTTTCCTCCAAGGAGCTCAAGGTGGTATACAACAGCCCTGTGAAGTAGATTGGGCTAAGAGTCAGTGACAGGCCCAAGGTCACTGAATGAGCTTCCTGGCTGAGTGGGGATTTGAGCCTTGCTCTAACTACCACACAACACTGCCTAGTATTACTGGGTGTCAAATCCATACTGATATTCTTGGAAAGGTGTCCAAATCAGACGCTGGTCCCTTTAAGAGCTGTTCCTGCTTGGTACGGTCTCCTAGCAACCCAGTGGCTTTGTTTCTACACAAGAACCAACCACCATCTTTGAGGTCTGGGTTCTTTCCTGCCACTCCCCCGCCTTCACTGCTGGCTTTCAGAAAGAGAGTTACAACCCCCCCCCCCACTGCCCCTACTCTCTGCAATGTCCCAGGAACAGCATTGCCCAGACGCAACAGTCTCCCTTGAGAAAAAGGATGGAGAGGTGGGCCAGAGGACCTCAGATTACTACAGAGTGGAGCCAACCTTGCCTCGCCGATTCAACAACCCTGGATGGTTCCGGGGCTACAGGTGAGAGGGATGGATGGTGGGCACCTGCTTTTCTTTCTTTCTTTTTTTAATTGTTATTTATTCAGTTTATTTATTGTTATTTATTAAATTTGCATACCGCCCTATACCCGTAGTGTCTCAGGGTGGTTCACAACATAAAATCACGATATGAAAACACAAAATACGCAATAAAAATATAAACAAGCACAACCCAATAATTCCACCACCACCCCCAAAAAAAATTTTTTTAAGGGCATTGGATGTCAAGCAGCCAAAGGCTTAGGTAAAGAGGAATGTTTTTGCCTGGCACCTAAAAGTATATAATGAAGGTACCAGCCTAATCTCCCAGGGGAGAATTTATATACTGCCACGTATCAAAGGATCCCATGGCAGTGTACAACATTAAAAACACATTACATAGCACCAATGATAAAAACATAACAAAAAGCATAGTAACAGACAGCATAATAATAAAATAATCATATTATTTGTTGCTGATTCAGCTCATTTGCACAGGTCCTTTGGGGGCTCATCTGGGTCTTAGTATTTGCCAACCTGAGTAGTTTGGTGTCATTCCCTACCTTGGGGCAGATCCACACTGTATATTTAAAGCATATTCATCACACATTTAAAGCACATGACTCCCCTCCCCCAAGTATCCTGGGAACTGTAGTTTATATATATATATATAAGATATTTATTAAGATTTTTTAAAATATTACAATAAAAATGAAGAAAAAAAATTGACAAAAATACAAAATAAAAATAGTTAAAAACACACAGATTTTCCATTACTTATTTTCCTTTGACTTATTTCCCGGACCTCCTCATACCTCCCTTTTTTGTATTCCACTTCAATCTGTTGGTTCAGCAAATCCTTTACAAGTAATAATATTAAATTTTTACCTATTTATAACCCTTTTTTGGTGGGCACCTGCTTTTCAAACAGATGTGCCCTCCCCTCAAGGAATCACCAGGTTGGGGGGGGGGGAGAAGAACCTTGCCTCAAACCCTGGAGAGCAGCTGCCAGTCAGTGCCTGCTTTTTTATTTTGGTAAATATGATTAAATATCATTTTATCATGTATATAAAACAAAGAGAACTGTTATAACAGATGCAAATTAAAACATGAAAAGTGGAACTACAAAGTAGGCACATAACAAATCCAGTTGCACAGGGGTTAAAATAACGAAACTGCTAGTAAAGACTACTTCCACATTTGCCAGGCTTGTCCTGAAAATGATGGTTCTGCTGTTTACGTCATAAAGGAATGCCAAATCATATTAAAAGTGTCTGGAAGTTCTAGTCCCTGTTGGAATCACAAATCATATGTCATCTTCTCCATTTTAGCTCTGTTCCAGAGTGAGTGGCACAGAGTGTCCAATGCCAGTTTTGGGGGTTCCCCACCCCCACTGAATTGCAATTACTGTCCGAGCTGCCAAGATCATATATATGACCAATTCTTCTGCCAACATTGGTTGTCCTAATAGTATTAGGAAACGTGTGATTACCTACATTCAACTGGAATCCTGTCTTTCAGATTTAAAGAGCCCAACCCACTGTTCAGGACCACCAACATGGACTACGGTGGGAAACCCCCCACGGTGCATGAAATGCCGGTATGAGCAGTTTTGCTGACTTGTTAAGTTGTGCCCCAGACAGGTTCATGGTCCTTCTGTTAATCCAGAGCCCTAGAAATCACGAGGCCAAAGTACACCTTAAGAACCACTTGATCTCTTATGCTCTACCTCAATCACGGAGGTTATGTATTTTATTTATATCCCGCTTTTTTTCTTCAAGGAGCTCAAGGTGGCATACTTGGTTCTGCCTCATCTCATTCTCCACAACAACCCTGCAATGTAGGTTTGGGTGATAGGCAGGGCCTGGCCCAATGTCATCCCAGTGTGCTTCATGGTGAGTAGGGAACTGAACCCTGGTCCTAGTCCGACAACTTTAACCACAACATTGCACTGCACTGTACATGTCCCCGGTTTCTCCTCCTAACATCCCTTTGAGGTAGGCTGGCTCAAGATCACACCCAGTGCTTTTCATGACAAGTGGGGATTCGAACCCAGGCCTCCCAGGTCCTACTCCAGCATACTAACCACTACACCACACTGGTTCATTCAGCCTTTATTAGGGAGGACCTGCCCTGTGTAACTCCCTGCCAGTGGAGGTTTGGTAGGAATCATTTTTTCCTTTTTTTAGATGTCTCCTGAAAATGGTATTATCCAGACAGGCCTTTAGAGCATGGCTTTAAAAACCCCCAATAAGTATGTATTGATGTTTTTACAAGAAGATAAGTAGAAAAACCAGCAATTTTGTATTGCTTCATTTTTAATGGAAATGTGGCCTACAGATATTATAATAATGAATAAAATATCATGAGTTGCTCCATGAGAAAAGCACTCAAAATGCAGCTGGAACTTTACTTCTAATTGTCCCCAAGAAAGAGGGAAATTGCCCCTTAGAAAAGGACCCGTTCTTTGAGAGAAGTTATCCTCATTATGATAGTCCTCTAGGGTGCCATAATTTTGGGTGACATGGGCAAATTTAGGGACATGGACAACTGAGTGTGCATGAAGAGGGCTATTGATGGCTACTAGCCAAGGTGGCTATGCTCTGCCTCCATAAGCTAAGAGGCAATAATGCTTCTGAATGTCTGTTGCTGGAAACCGCAGGATGGGAGTGCTGCTCATGTGCTCTGGTCTTGCTTGGGAACTTCTGATAGTGGGCATCTGCATGGCCACTGTGATGACAGGAAGCTGGACTAGATATGCCTTTGGCCTAATCAAGCAGAGCTCTTTTTTAGATCCTTAAGTCCTACATGCTAATTCTAGTGCTGGAGTCAGTATGCCTTTGAATACATTGCTGGGAATTGCCAACTGGCAGAAGACTTTTCCACTAGGAATTCTGCTTGTGAGTTTCCCATAGCGTGCCTCTGGTAGGACACTGTGAGAACGGGAAACTGGACTGGGTGGCCCCCCTTTGTTCTGATCCAGCAGGGTCTCCTTATGTTCTTATATAGACTGCAGGGTGACCTCCCTGCCTTCTAGGCAGGAGTCAGTGTCCTTAGTGCACAGGTTCCTAAACAAAACTTTCATTTTGTTTGCCTAGAGGGGGTTGCCTGTGGTCTGAGCTACTCAAGTTAACTCACTAGCCTCAGGGTTCCAGATAATCATTCACATCCCACTTTCTTCCCAACAGACCAGCTTCCATGTTTCCCCACATGCCTTCTCAAACCACCTTGTGAAGTTTGGCCCATACCGGAATACCGGGATCAACACCAACACAGAGAAGAGCTATGTGACTGGCGCAGAAAACTTCATCACCTGCTTTGACACACTGAATTTCCACCCCAGTTACAGGACTGGGGGGCCATCCTTTTGCGAGTAGGGGACACCTGGAAGCCAAGTTGCTGCCCATTTAAGCTTTCACTCCATCCTAAGGAACGACACCAAGGAATGATTATGGAAACTGACTATTTTGAAGCTCCTGAAAAAACAACTTTTTTCCTGTGGCTCCCATCCCTAGTGAAACAATTTCTGCTTACATGCTCCTCTCTATCTAGAAAACTCTTGTAGGCTTCAACAAGTGGGGTTAAATGGCTTTGGATTGCATCCACGGCAAAGAGCTTGCAGAGAATATCATTGTTAGGTTTAATTAATGTTACCATGTAACAATAGTATTGTGTCCATCATTAAAATGTTGGGAATCTGCAGCAATCTGCATGTATTGTCTGCCTTCACAATTGGGGAAGGGCTGTAGCTCATTGGTGGAACATGTCAAAGGTCCCGGGTTCAATCCCTGCTGGCATCTCCAGCTAGGGCTGGGAATGCTCTGCCTGAAACCCTGGAAAGGCTTTGGAAACTGTGGGAAGACCAGTCATTGTAGACAATACTGAGCTAGGTAGGCCAACAGTCAGAGCTGGAATATGGCCACTTACATTCCTATTTGATTCAGAACAATGAAGTCCAGAAACTTGGAATAAGTTTACCTGTGAGATTACCTTACTCCATAAATGCTCACACGACCGCATCAACCTGTGAAACTGGCACTGTTACAGGTGCCACATAATACTCATTCCCCATTTGTAAGAAATCCATCTTTTAGTATGGCAGCACCTACACTCTGGAACACCTTGGCTATTGATACCAGGCAAGGTGCCTTTCCAGCAGGCTTTTCTTTTGTTCTTCCTCTGCTGTTGGGAGCTAGAATGCCTCTGAATACCAGTTGCTGGGAATCATTAGCGGAGAGAGTTGCTCTCTTGCTCTGGTCTTGCTTGTGGGCTTCTTCCCATTGGGGGTTTTGGTTGGCCACTGTAAGAACAGTATGCTGGACTAGATGGGACCCCTCTGGCCTGATCTAGTAGGCTCCATTATTGACTGGGGTACAGAATACAACTGTTCCTTTCCGCTCACACCTTAAGGGGGTGGACAAAGCCCCTTTAGAAACAGCCTGAGTAAGATAAACGACAGAGGACCAAGTGGTGGCTGTGGACCTAAATCTCTCTGAAACATCCGAGACATTAAAAAAGAAAACTTTTGGTTTCATGGTTCAAACTCTGAACCCAGTTTATTAAATCTTATAAATGTATGAATGTACACCATTTCTTATATACAAAACAAGTTCAAAAGTGCTTCTTCAGACAGACAGAATCGAAACCACAAGCTACAAAGTACTGCAATTTGACTGATGAATACAGATGCACCCTCTCTCCCCGCCCCCCGCCCCGAGGGTCCCCATAAACTGATCTGGGGGTTTAAAGAGCAATAGAAGAATGTATAGTAAAGGTTTATAGTGAGAAGAGGCAGATTGCCATGAGGTTTCAATGTAAAATGAGATGTGAAAGCAGCATTTAAAAAAAATAATAATATACAGACTAGTTGAAGGGGAATGCAAATTCTGAGATGCAACCACTTTCTGCTATCACGTTTACCTTCTATGAAGGAAGGCAAGAAGTAACTTCAATATACCTGCTCTTGGAAAGAAACACTTGACTCTGTGGAAGCGTCTAAGACAGCCCTTGCCAACCAGGTGCCTTCCAGAAGTTCTGGACTACAACTCCCATCAGCTCCAGGAATGTCTTACTCCAGCAACATCTGGAGACCCCACAAGTTTTCCAATCCTGATGTAGTACAATGAACATGAACTATAGTTCTCTGCAGTTAGGGGTGCTCTATACACTGTTACAAAAAGACTCACTTAAAGCACTTTTGAAATAACTTAGAACAGTCTTTAAAAAGGGGGGGGAGGGGAGGGGAATCAAGTCCATGTAATAGGTGACAGATTCCTTCAATGGAAAGATAGACTGTCTGTATTTGTCCCAAATTCTCTTTCCATTTTGAATACTTTGAAGACTACGACACTCTGGGCTGCTTAATAAAGATTACATTTTCTTTATCTGATAAGGATAAATCTCTTGGTCGGGGGGGGCATAAGTTTTCCACTGTGGATGAATCTTGAGGTGCTGAGTAGGTAAGGGGGTTGGGCTAGATGACCCTTTGGATTCCTTCAAACTCTACAATTATAAGATTCTGTCCTTGTAACTCAAGGATGATGCAGGGGAGGGTGAGGAAAAGAACATTCACCCCAGTCTTCATAATGTTGCAACAAAATCCTCACCCCTTCCAGCATGGAGATTAATCAAGATGTCAGAAAACCTAAATGTAATGCAGGCTTTTACCTTAGAAAAAAAAAACCCACACATGGATGCTGTAAAAAATAAAGCCCTTACAAACTGAAGTCCTTGCTTTTCTCCATTGGGGTTACACCTACAAATTCTGCACAGCCTTCCTCTAAATCTTTCTGGGCTTGCTTCTCTGCTATCCTATCCTGCCCAATCAAGGATTCTCCATCTGTCGCAAGCTATAACAGCTGCTGGGAACTTTACTACACTCCTCCCAACTGGTGTGAAGCTCCTGGGTGTTCCCTTCTTCTACCCCATCAGGGAACTCAGCACGCAGGGACACTGTGCTAACTCTGACCCCTTGCTCATTAGCTGTGCTGGGTACGTGCAAAGGAAGACCATGGCTGGAGTCCCTCCTGCAGCAAGGCTCCAAAGGTTTAATATCTGCTAGGTTGACTGCTTCATTGCATAAATAAGCTTCCTCTGTTTCCCCTTGCCTCTCAGTCAAAAAGGGACAAGGCCCTCCTGAAGATAAATCTGCCTCTTTAAATCTTGCCTGACACCTGGATCTTAGAACCCCCTCTCTCTGCAGTCTCACCACCTGCCTCTTACCAAGCAAATCTGATACTGGGACACCTCCCTGCCTCTTGAATGACAGATCTTCACCCTGCCCTTTCCCCACAAGCACAGGTTTTTTTTTATTCTGAGTGCTTTTGAGGCCTGCTATAAACTTGCTGGAAACTTTGAACTCATACGGGCTTTTCCTTTTGAAAGAAGACAATGGCTTAAAGTAATTTTGTGATTTAAAGTTCTCAGATTTGCCCTTCCCAGGTGGAATGTTTATTTGGTCAAGCTTCCTATCATAGCCAACCTTTCTTTGAACCACTGCCTGTTTTGCAGGTAAACCGGATCGTTTTGTCTGCACAGTACCTTGACTGCACAGATCCCACTCAGATGAGACCACCTGCATGTCACAAAGAGAAGCATTTTGCATTGTCTCTTCTTCAGCCTTCAGAGAACCTCTCAACACAACCATAAGTGGACCTGCCTTCTTTGCTTTTTTACTCCATTCCAGCAAGGCATTGCCTCCATCTCTAAACAGCTGGTGCTTGGCTTTAGATATGGCTGTTTGGGGTTTATCAATTTGCAAGTTCTCAACAATCCCATCGGCTCTGGGTACTTCTGTGGAATCTTTAGCCTTTTCTGCCAAGAACCTCTGGATTTCTTGCTCGATGCTGTCATCGCTATCCATGGAACTGCTGTTGTCTGTCAGGGATGTGGCAGCCCAAAGACACTGATTGCTTTTCGCTCCATCCTGAGTTTTGGGCCCTGCCACTGACTTAGTGTGGCATTCCTTTTTAAATTCCAACACACACTGTGTGGCTTTTGGACTTTGGGACTTCATGATGCTTCGGGGCCCTTTCTTTGCATCCTCTTCCCCAGAGTTTATTCCGGGGCTCATGAGGCAACTCTTCAGCAAGGTGGGAGCTTTGGGTTTGCAGTCTGTTTCTTTATCCTCCAGAATCTGCATCTCTGTCTCACTAAACCGGACTCTCTTCTTGCACGGGATTCTTTGGTCTTTGGGTTTTTTCTTTAACTTTCGCTTGGACCTCAAGAGGTCCTTGATAGCTGTGTCCAAGTCTTCATCACTGTCCAAAGAACTGCTCTTATCCTCTATGATGTACTTCTGTTGACCCCAAGCCATGCTTTTAAAAAGTTCTCTAGCACCAAGCTGTCCTTGGGAATTTCCAAAATCTATTAATCTGGCAATGGATACAGCATCTTGTTGGCAGCTAGCCACTGCCCCTCCAACCTTACTGTTTTTCAGTATGCTCAGACCACCTTCCCCTTGGGGTGTATTTGACAGCATCAGTTGTGTGCTTTGGTCTTGCTTGCTTCCTGCCTTGGGTTTCCTTTTTTGACTTGGTGACAGTTTTAATGGTTGCCCAGAGAAGGGAGGAATTTGAGCAATATGTGAGACCCCTTTATTTTTTGCTACCAGGCCTCCTGCTTGTGCTTTGACCGCCAAAAAAGTCCTTATTTCTTGCTCAATGCTGTCATCACTGTTCACGCTGTGGCTGTCACTTTCAATTTGAAAAGGAGGTACACTCTGGGAGCAGAATGAAGGATCACTTGTGGCGAATGACCTGCTGTTGCTGCTTCCTGTAGGGAGAGGTAAAATGGTCTTGGAGATGTCCAGGATGGCTTCTGCACACATCAGCTCGGCAGCAGTGTCTGTCCTGCAAGAGGCCTGGAAGGTGAGTGCACACTTGGCAAAGTCATCTTCCAGAGTAGGGTCAACATTGCCTTTCTCTGCTGTCTTGCTGCAAATGGCATCCAACTTATTTAATTCTGCTGCTTTAGAGCAGCTTTGCCTCCCCTTCCTGCTCAAAGCTTTCCTGGGGATCTCTGGCAAGGCACCTTTTACTGAATGAATCATCAACCTGGCAGATATATCTTTTATCCTGATGGCCCCAAACTCTTCCTTCGGAAAAGGAGCATGGCCTGCTTTGGAGTCTGCTGCCTTCCTGGTTTTCTCCAGCTGGTACAGCTGGATAGCTTCTTCAATACCATCGTCACTACTTGAATCAGAGATGTCTATGCTTTGAAGGGTTTGCTCTTCCCTGGCTTTCCAGGGTGCCTGCCTTTTCTTGCCTGTTCTGCTTTGCTCCAGGATGCAGGAATGACCAGCCAAAGGTGTTTTCAAGGTTGTGTGGCCTGTTGTACTGAAGTCACCAAGCTCCTCTCCATTGGTTTTTGACTCCTGTTTAGAAGGAGCATTGGCACCTCCGAGTTCCAGGTGGTGCCTTAAGAAGAGCGCCTTGCCCTGCTCTCGCTTCAGATACCTTTGCCGACTTTCTCTCCGGTTCCTAACTGCCAACTTCTCTTGGGTCTCTTTCTGGTGAAGTTTCCTACTCCCCAGTGTTATATCCTTTTTCCTTGATTGCTGTTTCTTCTCATTTAAGAATTGCTCTATCTCAGCTTTGATGCTCTGTTCAAAAGAGTCGTTGCTGCTCACACTGCACGGGGAGGGAGCGATGTTTCTCTCAAAGTAATTAGGGGAACAGGGGCACTGAACCTCATTCAACTTCACACCTGTAGGGAACAAACTACAATCTGCATTGTCTACACTGTGCAAACTCTTGGCCTCGCTTGGCAGTGGTGAAATGCACTGGCCTTTGTTTTTTAGATACTCTTGGATGGCCTCTTCTATTTCTCGGTCAACGGAATCATCACTGTCAGAATTCAGTGAGAGAGGGCCAAATTCTGAGCTCTCTTCCACCTCCATGCCATCAGAGTCGGCAGGACAGTGACTCTGGGTGTATTCAATGTGTTTCTGCAGCGTCCTGCCGCTGGCCCTTAGCTTGGGGCTCCTGACCTTGGTTCCCTTCTGCTTTTTCTGCATAAGGCAGCCATATTCACTGCAGCTGGCATCCAAGGATGCCTCTTCGCTCTGGAGGTTGTTAATGATCATCTGGACTTTGGCACTGACAGCTGTCCTAGCAATGTCATCTTCGGATTCTGAGAAGCAGATGGGGTACCTGCAGTTCCTCGATGGGACAAAGGGCTCCCATGTCCTCTGGAGGGCCACCAAAGGGGGGGTGTCCATGAGAAACATCCTAATTGGTAGCAAGGAGGCCCACTCAGGTACTGGTTCTCAGGCAAGTTGTTACACCATCCTAACACAAAAAGAAAGAAAAGATGCATATTAACACAATGCCACAGTTATGCAGAAAGCCAATGCACTGAAGTTTCCCAATCAAATTCTACATATGACATGTTCTATATTAACTAATACTCTTTCAATAGCAGATGAAGGGCTGTTACCGTATTTTTCGCTCTATAGGACGCACTTTTTCCCCTTCAAAAATGAAGGGGAAATTTGTGTGCGTCCTATGGAGCGAAGATGCCATAGCCCCACGACCCTCTCCCGGCTGGAGAGGTGACGCGCGGCTATGGCAGGAACCTCTACAGCCCCGTGTCACCTCTCCAGCCGGGAGAGTGCGCGCGGGGCTAAAGCAGCCCCGCGACCCTCTCCCGGCTGGGGAGGTGACGTGCGGCTATAGAGGCTCCTGCCATAGCCGCGCGTCACGTCTCCAGCCGGGAGAGGGTCGCAGGGCTGTTGCTTCTTTAGCCCGCGCGCGCTCTCCCGGCTGGAGAGGTGACGCGCGGCTATGGCAGGAGCCTCTATAGCCGCAAAAGAAGCCCCCCCGCAACCCTCTCCCGGCTGGAGAGGTGACGCGCGGCTGTTGAGGCTCCTGCCATGGCCGCGCGTCACCTCTCCAGCCGGGAGAGCGCGCGGGCTAAGCAGCCCCCGCGACCCTGTCCCGGCTGGAGAGGTGACGCGCGGCTACGGCAGGAGCCTCTACAGCCCCGCGTCACCTCTGCAGCCGGGACAGCGCGTGCGGGGCTAAAGAAGCACCCCGCAACCCTCTCCCGGCTGGGGAGGTGACGCGCAGCTATAGCGGCTCCTGCCATAGCCGCGCGTCACGTCTCCAGCCGGGAGAGGGTCGCAGGGCTATGGCTTCTTAGCCCCGCGCGCGCTCTCCCGGCTGGAGAGGTGACGCACGGCTATGGCAGGAGCCTCTACAGCCCCGCGTCACCTCTCCAGCCGGGAGAGCGCGCGCGGGGCTAAAGCAGCCCCCCACGACCCTCTCCCGGCTGGAGAGGTGACGCACGGCTATGGCAGGAGCCTCTCCGCTGCACCTTTCCGCTGCTCCCTGACCTGCTCTTTGGGGCTGGTGGTGGGCTTCCCCCCGCCAGCCCCAAAGAGCAGGTCGAAAGGAGCCTGGAGAGCGAGAGGGGTCAGTGCACACCGCCCCATCTCGCTCTCCAGGCTTCCAAGGTAGCCGCCTGAACGCACCTTAAATGGCACCTTGTTTTAGAGCGGGAAAACAAGAGGGGGAAAGTTCTCCCCCTCTCTGTGCAGCGCCTCCTGCTGCTTCACTGAAGGGACGCTGGGCAGAGAGGGGGGGAATTTTTTTTTGTTGTTCTCCCCCCTCTAAAACAAAGTGCGTCCTATTGTCTGGTGCGTCCTATGGTGCGAAAAATACGGTAAGTCCTGTCTGGAGATGCCATTGAGGATTGAACCTGGAACCTCCTGCATGCAAAGCAAATGCACCACCACTGACAAAGTCACAATCACAATTTCTCAACTTGTACCTGTACATGTAAATTAGGATATGCAAATTTAGGGAAGGGCCACAGCTCAGTAGCAGAGCACATGCTTTGCTTAGCTCCAGGTTCAATCCCCTATGGCAGTGGTGTCCAAGCTTTTTTCAAAGAGGTGAAGGGCCGTGAAAGCCGACCAAAGGGCCAACCAATGTTGTTGACTTTTTTAAGGATTGAAGTTATTGACCTTTTTAAAATTATTTTACCTCAAAGTTGTTGTTGAGCTTTTTTTGAGGATTGAAGTTTGTTGAGGGTTTTTTAAAGGATTTTACCTCAAGAAATAAACTGCCACAGGGGCCGGATTAAACCAACTGGCGGGCCGGATTAGGCCCCCAAAACGGACTTTAAACATGCCTGCCCTACCTGCCTCTCCAGGTAGGGCTGGGAAAGACCGTCTGGATTCTGCCAATAAGTGTGGGCAATACTGAGCTAGATGGACCAGTTGCTCTGGATCTGTAGAAGGTAGCTTCCTGTGCACCTGCCAGTCCCAACCACTGGCATCCTCAGGCAGGGCTGAACCCTGGAGACCCGCTGCTTCTGCCTGTCAGTGCAGACAGTACTGAGCTGGACGGAACCCAGTTGCCTAACTCGGCACAAGGCGAAATCCTGTGTCCTTAAATACACGCTAAATATCCGCTTTAAAGAAAGACCCTCTGCAGGTGGATCCTCGCCCTGAAGGGTACGGAGCATGAGGTGTTTTGACGAACATATTCGCCACACCTCGCTTCAAAGTGTATTTCGTTTTCGGTTTTTTGTAAGTCGCTTCGATTTGCCATGGCAAAAAAAGCGGCAAATAAACTTAATACATTATTATTATTAGTGGGGAAAACGCTCCCTCTCCCCGCCCTGCCCCTGGCGTTGGGCTCCCTTACCGCGCCAAACCAGCACTCTAAAACCGCAACAGCCATTGCCTGTATTGCTCGCCCCGCTCCCGTCCCCTGCCAGGCCCTCCTCCCCCTAAGGCCTCGTTGCCAAGGCAAACTCCCGGGCCTACCGCCACCGCCAGCAGCCTCCTGCGCAGTACCAACCGGACCCGGGCCCAGCCGCCTCCATTTCCCGCCCTCCGCTGCTCCTTCCTCAGCCTCACATGCTCGGAGGGAACACAGCTCCTCCACCTTCTCCGCAGTAGGCACCGGGAGGGACGGTCCCGAGGTCCCTTCCGCCGCCTTTCCCCCTTCTTCTGCTGCTGCTGTCGCCGCCTCCACTGGTTCAAACCGGCCCGGCTGTTCCGTCCGCCCGCCCGTCCGCCCGCCTTCCTCCCTCCGCCCGCTAGAAGAGAAGGAGCGGGGAGGCGGCGGCGAAGACGGCGAGACCCGGGCTGTGCCTGTGGCCGGGAGAGGGCGGCAAGTAGAAGAAAGGGTTAATGAAGGCAACCCCCTCCCACCACAGGGAGATATTTGGGGTGGGGCCTTCTCCCCCCCCCGTCTGCTTTCTGTGTCCCTGTGCCTCAGTTACCCCCAGATGCCTTCTCAACCTTTCCTTCCTTTTTCAAAACCATTCTTCACTTTTTTTCACTCTGCTTCAGTTTTACCTCAAATTCCTCTTCCTAACGTTTATTTTTCTCTTTTTCCACTTTTTTACTATTTCCATTCCTGACTTTCTCTCTGCCTTAATCAACCACAAAATGCTCCCTCTTCCTTTGCTTTCCTTCCTAAATTTCCTTCTTTCCTTCCTTTTTTTCTAAACCTTTGCTTTAGTATTCCATTCTGCCTCAGTTTCTCCTCAGAATGCATCTTCTTCCTTTTCTTTATTTCCTAACATTTATTTCCTTCCTTGCTGCAAAATCTTTTCCTTTTCTTTCCTTCCTAAACTTATTCACCCCCTTTCTTCCTGTATTTCTTCTGCACTGCCTTAGTTTCTTTCAGGCTGCTTCCTTTCTTCTCCTTTTCTAACATTTCCTTCCTTCCTTCCTAAATCTATCCATTTATTGTTTCCTCATTCCTGCCTCCCACCATAGTTTCCTGTTCTTCCTTTTCTTTCCCTAACGTGCATTTATTTACTAATTTATTTATTTCATTTCAGCTCATTTTCTCTCAAAAACTCTTTCTGTTTGTGCAAATTTACTAAATTAAAAATTTATGGGGATCTGCCCTCCCCTACAATTTCATAACAATATTTTTTCTTTGAGTGACACTCAAAGACCACCAAGGAAATTGTGCTAAAGAGAATGTGCCAAGGGCAAGATAGCTTGGACCACTCTCTGATTCATGCCCCCAGCCCCAGGTGAGTCACATCAGAGGGCTAACTTTGGAATAGGCTATCTGAGAACAGTTGAATATATTCACTGTTTGTCATTAATAATAATAATAATAATAATAATAATAATAATAATGCTATTGCTAGTATATGGTAGAATTTAGCATTTGGAGTATTACGGGAAGTTGCCAGGCACAGTGTAAAAATATAGGCGGTCAGTTCTCCTGTTCAGAAGATTGGCTGACAGAGGTGCCATCAAAGAACAAAGACAGGTGATGGCAGGGTCATTACCCTGACAATAGGTGAGAGACAAAAAGTGTCAGAAAGAAAGGGGCTTGGAATTCATCCCCAAGCTATATGTTAGGAAAAGACAATAGCAAAGCTGGGAGAGGACGTTGCCAGGGTTACAGGGGCATGATGTCGCCATAGGAAAAAGATGCCCTTTTTACACGAGGCTTGAGTACTGTTAGAATAATGGTTTTTGGGAAGAAGAAGGGAGGGGCAGAACTCCATGTGCGCTGGCTGGGAGATGCTGCACCAAAAGACCAGGGAACATGGCTGGCTGTGCTCTGGGCCCAAGCTTGCTGAACTTAGGAGGAGAGCGACAAGAGACATTACCGGGATGTAATGTTTTGCACCGCCTCCACCTAAACTCAGGTGTAAATATGTGTGGATAAACCATATTTCTTAAAAACACAACAGTACAGAAATACTATAGGATTTCTTAAAAACACTACAGTGTCCAAAGGAACACAAACCCTGGTTAAGTGCCAGGAGCCCTAGAATTTTGCTACTGCTTGGCAGAGATTGAGGTGGCCTGTAGCAATATGCTAGCTGTCTCGGCCTCAGATTCTGGTACCCATCAACTTCACGATCCACAGAAAAGCTCAATTGCTACAGCTATAGAACTACATCACCTAGCTGGATTGTTGACCCTCAGATTGAAACACAATATGAGGAACCAGTGCCTCCATCTCAAATTGCTTTCCTGGAGTTATAATTGCTCGTGGGAGGAATTGTTTCCTGTCTATTCAGAAGCCGCTAGTTGTTTTTCCCTCCTAATGTGAGGTCACTTCTCCACACACAAAATACATAAAGGAGCAGAGATCTCGTGACATAAATTACGGTAACTTCAGAATTAAAGGTGCTGGCTTCAACTTTGTCGTCTCTCCCCCCCCCCCACACACTAAGAACATAAGAAGAGCTTGTTGAATCAGACCAAAAGTGGTCCATCTAGTTCAGCATCCTGTTCTCACAGTGGCTAAGCAGATTCTCCTTATAGGAAGTCCTCAAGCAGGTTCTGAGCAAAACAGCAACCTTTGCCTCCTCCAGTTTCCAGCAACTGGTGTTCAAAAGCATTACTGCCTCCAACCATGAAGGCAGAGCATAGTCATTGTAGCTAGTAGCCAATAATAGCTTCCTCCACGAATTTGTCCAATCCTCTATGGCTTTGTTGGTTACAATTTACTTTCCAGGTTAAATTCAAGAAGCGGCACCCCTTGCAACAAAGGTGCAAATGTGTTGCTCTCCGGATGTCATGGACCACAGCTCCCATCAGTCCCAGGCAGCAAGCGATGAATTTAAAGTCCACAGTATCTCTGGGGAGCAACATGCTGGTTACCCCTTCTATATACAATTTGGGATATTTGAGAGGGAGTATTATTGAATCCGTATGCACACTGTAGTTTAAGACCAGAAGATCACTTCTTCAGGTGATGCCTCCTTGGGCATCCTTGGGTGTGTGTGGGGGAGGTGTCCCTCATCCAGAAGAGAAATATCAGAAACTGGGGAAGGGGTTGTAGCTCAGAGGCAGAGCAGATGCTTTGCATGCAGAAGGTCCCTGGTTCAAACCCCAGTAGCATTTCCAGGTGGGACTGGGAGAAATCTTGGAAATATGCTGCCAGTCAGTATAGACAATACAGATTTATTTATTTATTTTAAAATTAATACAATGCCTGATCGTAAAACATCTAAAAGCTGTTTAGAACATCTGAGTTAGATAGACCAGTGGTCTGATTTGGTAGAACACAGCTTCATATGTACCTAAGGGATTTCGACTCTTTTAAGCCCTATAATTTAGGAAATCCTGAAAAACAACAACATTTATTTCACCAGGGCTTCATACTTTAGAGCCTGGACTCAAAAGCTGTTAAGTAGATTTTGCTTCCAATGTTTATTGATCTTAGTTGCTGATGTTTTATGGATCTGGTTTAACAGTTTTACTCTATTCTATCGCCTTGGCTGTGAGCCAACATGGAGGTTTATTATTATTATTAATTTTTATTTGGTTGAAGGTATAAGTTTATAAACAAATATGCATGTACACACATCTGTGACATCCATACTTTATATGCTTGCTGTGGGAAATGGGTTTAATTTTTTCCTGTAGCAAATGTTTAAGAGTTGGGGCAGGCAGGAGATTCCGACAGGCAGGTTTCAATGACCTGGCTGTCATTAATGATATCCCATCAGATATTTGAAAGGAAGCAATTCAGGCAACGGAGTCATTCCAACATGCTGCCCATCATATTCTGTTGCCTTTGGCACTGGGAAGCAGATGGTCAGCTGTTTTGACAGGGAGCTGGTTCCAGAAAAGATCAGTCTGGATTAAGCAAGCCTGATCTGCTCCTAAGGCTGGGAAACAAGCGTGGTATAATCAGCAGATCCTGACAGGTAGCGATTTCTGCCAAAAATGTTGCCTAGCTGATTTTTTACTACCCCCAGGCCACAATTTTTATTTTTTTTAACAAACTACCATTCTTGACCATTTCTCCAGAGCAAACCCATTTTAGATAATTGATTCTTGCCCCAGGCAAAAGATGTTATAATGGTCCAGGGAGCAAATTATGTCAGGTATCAGTTTCAAGCTAAAACGATACCTGTCCAATTCTGCTGGACAAGCAAGAAGCTAGATTATTGTGGGCTTCCTGAACCATTTTTTTTGATGGGCGACTGTGGGAAATAGGATACCTGGTCCTATGACTCTACCTTGGCTTCTCCTTGTGAGAGCCAGTGTGGTGTAGTGGTGTCAGACTAGGATCTTGGTGGACAAGGATCAAATCCCTACTTGGCCATGAATTCCACAGGGTGACCTTGGACCAGTCACTGCCTCTCAGACTAATCCACCTCACAAGGTGTTGTGGGGATTAAATGTGGAGGAGAATCATGTATAACACTTTGAGCTCCTTGGAGGAAATAAGGTGGAATATAAATTTAATAAATAATAAAACTACAGGCTTAATTGCCAGGGCACTTTGTACCTTTCTACACCCCTCAAGGGGACGCTGGTGGTGCTGTGGTCTAAACCACAGAGCCTAGGGCTTGCTGATCAGAAGGTCGGCGGTTCGAATCCCCGCAACTGGGTGAGCTCCCGTTGCTCGGTCCCAGCTTCTGCCAACCTAGCAGTTCGAAAGCACGTCAAAGTGCAAGTAGATAAATAGGTACTGCTCCAGGGGAAGGTAAACCCCTGTTTCGGTGCACTGCTTTGGTTCGCCAGAAGTGGCTTAGTCATGGTGGCCATGTCACCCGGAAGCTCTACGCCGGCTCCCTCAGCCAATAAAGCGAGATGAGCACCACAACGCCAGAGTCATCCGTGACTGGACCTAATGGTCAGGGGTCCCTTTACCTTTACCTTACACCCCTCAAGGGCAATGCTCTGTGAAGCTCCCTTCTCCCAATTTTGCAAATTCTATGCTATCAGTCTATTCTGCCATAGCCAGACTCTACCTGGGGTTCTGGGTCCAGTTCTGGGCACAATAGTTTAAGAAAGATACTGATTAGCAGGAGGGTGTCTGATATGATGAAGGGTCTGGCAAACAAGCCTTATGAGAATTGGCTGAGGGATTTGAGGATGTTTAGCCTAGAGAAGAGGAGATTGAGAGGAGATAGGAGAGCCATCTTCAAGTATCTAAAGCATTAGTTTTACAACCAGTGTGCTGTGGCACCCTGGGGTGACTTGAATGATGGTCAGGGGTGCTGCTGAGCAGCACTGTCCGCCATCCTGCCTTCCTTCTCTCCCTCTTCTGATGGGGAAAACCCTCAAGCTTCCTTTTTTTTTAAAAAAAAATGATATTTATTAATGTTTCAGAAAAGGTTACAGATAAGAAAAAGAAAAAAAAGAAAGAAAATACAAAATACAAAATACAAAAAAAATAAAAATAAAAACACTTAAAAACAAATCAATCTTTCCATGTCTTGTCTTTCATTTACTTGTTTCCCTGACCTCCTCACACCTCCCTTTTTTGTATTCCAGTTCAGTTAGTTAATTCAGCAAATCCTTTCCCTCTTTATTTTTATCTTAATCCTTTAACTTAATATATTATAACTTTAGATTCTCACCTGTTAACAATCCATTTTTACATACTCCTTTGTAACATTGCTGCTAAAACCACTTAACTTCATTCTGACATCATTCTAACATTCATTAATTTTGCAGTATTTCTGTAAATAGTCTTTAAATTTCTTCCAATCTTCTTCCACCGACTCTTCTCCCTGGTCTCGGATTCTGCCAGTCATTTCCGCCAGTTCCATGTAGTCCATCACCTTCATCTGCCATTCTTCCAGGGTGCGTAAATCTTGTGTCTTCCAGTACTTTGCAATAAGTATTCTTGCTGCTGTTGTAGCATACATAAAGAAAGTTCTATCCTTCTTTGGCACTAATTGGCCAACCATGCCCAGGAGAAAGGCCTCTGGTTTCTTCAGAAAGGTATATCTAAATACCTTTTTCATTTCATTATAGATCATCTCCCAGAAAGCCTTAATCCTTGGACACGTCCACCAAAGGTGAAAGAATGTACCTTCATTTTCTTTAAATTTCCAACATTTATTATCGGGCAAATGATAGATTTTTGCAAGCTTGACTGGGGTCATGTACCACCTGTATATCATTTTCATAATATTCTCTCTTAAGGCATTACATGCCGTAAACTTCATACCTGTGGTCCATAACTGTTCCCAGTCAGCAAACATAATATTATGTCCAACATCTTGTGCCCATTTAATCATAGCAGATTTCACCGTTTCATCCTGAGTATTCCATTTCAACAGCAAGTTATACATCTTTGACAAAATCTTGGTTTTGGGTTCTAACAGTTCTGTTTCCAATTTTGATTTTTCCACCTGGAAGCCAATTTTCTTGTCCAAATTATATGCCTCCGTTATCTGATAATAATGAAGCCAATCTCGCACTTTATTTTTTATTTTTTCAAAACTCTGCAATTTCAATCTGTCTCCCTCTTGTTCCAAAATTTCCCAATATTTCGGCCATTTGGCCTCCATATTGAGCTTTTTCTGAGCCTTCGTTTCCATCGGTGACAGCCACCTTGGGGTTTTATTTTCGAGTAGGTCCTTATATCTTATCCAGACATTAAACAATGCTTTCCTGACAATATGATTTTTAAATGCTTTATGTGCTTTGACCTTATCATACCATAAATATGCATGCCATCCAAATACATTATTAAAGCCTTCTTAATCCAAAATGTCTGTGTTTTCAAGAAGCAGCCATTCTTTCAGCCAGCAAAAAGCTGCTGATTCATAGTAAAGTCTAAGGTCTGGCAGGGCAAATCCACCTCTTTCCTTTGCATCCGTTAGTATTTTAAATTTTATTCTAGGCTTCTTGCCCTGCCAGACAAATCTAGAAATATCTCTCTGCCACTTCTTGAAGCAATCCATTTTATCCGAAATTTGCAATGTTTGAAACAGAAACAACATTCTAGGCAATACATTCATTTTTATCGCAGCAATACGGCCTAGCAGTGAAAGCTTCAAATTTGTCCAGATTTCTAAATCTTTTTTCACTTCAGCCCAGCATTTTTCATAATTGTCTTTAAATAAATTCCCATTTTTAGCTGTCATGTTAATCCCCAGATATTTCACTTTCTTAACCACTGTTAAACCTGTCTCATTCTGAAACCTCTCTCTCTCAATCTCTGTTAAATTTTTCTCTAAGACCTTTGTTTTTGACTTATTTAGTTTAAATCCTGCAACCTGACCAAATTCTTGAATCAGTTCCAAAACTCTTTTGGTACTAGATTCTGGCTCCTGTAATGTCAATACTAAGTCATCTGCAAATGCTCTCAATTTGTACTGTTTAGCTCCGACTTGTATACCTTTAACCAATTGGTCCCTTCTAATCATATTCAACAGGACCTCCAGGACCGATATAAAAAGCAGTGGGGAGATTGGGCAACCTTGTCGTGTCCCTTTTTCTATCTTAAATTCCTCCGTCACCACGTTATTAACAATTAATTTAGCCTTTTGTTCTGAATAAATTGCACTTATACCGTTTCCAAAACCTTGACCTACCCCCATCCCCTGTAGATTCTTCTTCATAAAACTCCAAGAAATGTTGTCAAAAGCTTTCTCCGCGTCCACAAATATCAAAACTGCCTTGGTATTAATATTCACTTGTAATTTTTCTAAAATATTGATTATGTTTCTCATATTATCAGACAAGTGTCTACCTGGGAGAAAGCCTGCTTGATCTTTATGAATCTCTTCCACTAACACTTTTTTTAGTCTTTTAGCCAAAATGTCTGCAAAGATTTTATAATCCACATTAAGCAGTGATATAGGGCGGTAGTTCTTAAGCTGCGTCTTTTCAGTCTCTGTTTTCGGTATAAGTGTAATATACGCTTCTTTCCACGACTCTGGTGCCCTTTTCCCATCCATTATTTCATTGCAGACTTCCTTTAAAGGTTGTACTAACCATTCTCTTAAAGATCTGTAGTATCTAGAAGTCACTCCATCCAGTCCTGGAGATTTACCTAATTGCATATTCTGAATGGCACGTTCTACCTCCTGTTCAGTTATTTTATAGTTCAGCATTAATTTATTTTCTTGAGAGATTTTTTATAATCCATGAAAACCCCCAAGCTTCCAATGCAAAGCCGGAAACACCCTACTCAGACAGACAAACAAGATGCACCTCTCTACTTTTTCATCTATCTTTGTGCTATGTGATGCTGGTTGTCATTGAAAGATTGCTGCCTGAGTGTGCACCTCTCTAGCCCATCTCTGTGATCCCAGCTGCTGTGGGGAGGCCTGAGCACTAAGTCACTGCCAGTTGGGACTGTTAGGAATCCTGTTTCAGTTTTTTTAATTGGGTGCCATCTTACAAAAACAAGATTGAGCAGGGTGATGAATGACTCATAATTTTTAAAAAGCCTTTTCAAAGCTGCACTGCAAGGGGTTGGGCTAGATGACCCTTGGGCTCCCTTCCAGCTCTACAATTTTGCTATTCTACGAATTCAGTTATAGTTTTTTTTGGAAATGCTTTGCTGGTCACAGACAAGAACAGCCTCTATTAAAATTTATTGTGCACATTGAAATAACTTCTCAAATCTTCGTGGTCTGTTCATCAAACCAGTATAGTAGAATTTTGCTTTAAAGGAATAGCAAAGAAAACAACAACCCTGAGCGAGGCATTCTGCCCTAGCTGCCAAATCCCAGGCTTGCTTTTTTGGCAGGCTTGCTGTCCCGAATAAATACCTGTGGCGTCTCTTAGATGGTAATGGCTTAGACATTCATCCATCACAGTGCCTGAGCAAATATAAAAGCTCAACACATCACGTTAAGGTAATTCCCCTCCCCAACCCCCCAAATAATCTCAGCACAGCTCCATGGTGGACTGGTAATAAAACCAGCTTCCATTGTAGCTGGAATCCTTGTTAAAAAGAAATTGCACATTGCTTCCAAATGAGCCATTTCACAGAATCATAGAACTGTAGAGTTGGAAGGGACCCCAAGAGTGGGAAGGCCCCAATCCACCACAGCTTTGACTACTCTTATATTTTGGTGGGAATATCACTTATGTCCACATGATGTCAGGCTTCTAACATCAGAAACCCACATGGCTTATGAAAATCTTAGAGCTACCTATCAGTGTGGAAAAAAGGGGCGGTGGCTCATTATCCAGTCCTATTAGGATCATTGTGCGCGGCTGCCAAGAATGTTATGACTTGTCAAGAAGATGAGGGACAGACTGCATGGACAAGGATGTTTTGTTTTCTGTACAGAAACATTATGGATGTCAGCTGTGCACATTGAAAGCACCTTCACCCCTGAATCCTGTGAACTGTAGTTTGTTTAGGGTGTTGGGAATTATAGCCCAGTGTGAAATAAACTACAGTTCCCAGGAATCTTCGGGGGGGGGCAGTAAATGTGCTCAGTGTATGCAGCTGCTGCCTCTGGTACAGTCTCCATAAAAGTGGGCTGTCATGCTGTGGCCCCACAATAATAGGTAAAGGGACCCCTGACCATTAGGTCCTTATTGGCTGAGGGAGCCGGCGTACAGCTTGCGGGTCATGTGGCCAGCATGACTAAGCCGCTTCTGGCGAACCAGAGCAGCACACGGAAACGCCGTTTACCTTCCCGCTGGAGCGGTACCTATTTATCTACTTGCACTTTGACATGCTTTCAAACTGCTAGGTTGGCAGGAGCAGGGACCGAACAATGGGAGCTCACCCCGTCGCAGGGATTCGAACCGCCAACCTTCTGATCGGCAAGTCCTAGGCTCTGTGGTTTAACCCACAGCACCACCCGCGTCCCTTTGTGGCCCCACAATAGCACTTTGCAAACCTGTTTTTCTTCGTTGTTTCAGATTTGCAGCAGCCTAAGGAAGTCTTTGTACTTTAAGGGTGATCACCCCTTTCCATTAATCTTCTGAATCATAGGAAAACTTGTTTATTTGGAACACAGAGGATTGGCAATAGGGATCTCTTCTTTTGCTCAGCTCCTGCTTGTAGGTTTACCATTGGGGTATCTGGGGTGCCACTGTGAGAACAGGACGCTTGACTGGATGGGCTGCCTTTGGCCTGATCCAGCAGCCTCTACTAATGTCCATATGCTATTAAAAGGTCGTGGAAAGTGATGTCTGTGCACACAGGCATTTGGAGAAATTCTTGGTAAAACGCTAGTGAATTTCCACAAGGTCTTTAAACTAATGTTGAAATGTGGAGGATCAAACTTCAGATTAGGAAAAAATGAGAAACTTGAAATTGACTGATTTCCGCTTCCCTAGCTGTGAAGGGAGGTGGCGGTGATGACAAGATGTTCCAGCACAGCCCTCTTTGGAAACACAGAGAGTTCCAAAGTTTTTCTCCCATATCCATTCCATAGACAGCAGCATTGCTCTCAGAAACGGAGGCAGAAACAGCAGGCCTAGTGTTTTGTGGACCTCGTGATAAAAATCTGTCTCCCATGCTATTTCTGGAGAATCTGTTCTCGGCACAGAGTGTCCTGCCAGGATGTTCCTGAGAAAGACACTTGTCATTTCACAAACAGAATGCTCTCCCCCCAGTCAACCCCCGCTATTCCCAAAGAGTACCAAATTCTCAGAATAAAAGACAATGGGTTTTGTATGTCTGGTGTTAGCAACACTCAGTTTTCGAGCCAGTGAAATGTTAAAGACCTTGCTAACTTTGGGAAGGAGTTGTAGCTCAGTGGTGGAGCACTTACTCGCTTTGCATGTAGAAGGTCCCAGCTTCAATCCCAATGGCATCTCCATGTAGGGCTAGGAAAGGCTCCTGCGTGAAACCCTCGAGAGCTGTTGCCAGTCAGTGTGGACAATACTGAGCTAGGTGGACCAGTTGTCTGACTTAGCAGAAGCCAGTTTCATAGGTTCCTATTTAACCCAGCCCTTTCTCCAGGTCTTTGTCAGCTGGAATCTTAATTTATCTATTTTGGGGCAGGGCCTTGGTTCAGCAGAAGGATCCCTGCACACAGGCTCTTAGACCGAAAGACACTACACACAGAAAAGGGATGGGGAGGGATGAGGATAAAGATAAACCCAGGAACTAATTTGGTGCTTTTTTCCTGTAGCAGTAGCAATGGAAGAGTCAGAAGTCCTAGTTGTGGGGGAGTGGGGCAAATCAGTATTGTTTCCCCAGGATAGATCTTCGAGGAAGCCCATCACTTGCCAATAGACTGCAGATTGCTAGAGAATCATAGAATTGTAGAGTTAGAAGCCACTCCAAGGTTATCTAGCTGAACTTTCTGCAACACAGGAATCACAGCTAAAGGGACCGAGTCCTAGTACTGATTAAGGCAGAGGCTATTACCAGGCTAGTAGTTATTGCCTAGAAGCTGCATTTTCCTCCTGATTTTTTTTGGGCCACTGAGAGCCACAGAAACAGTGCCCTGCCCCCAGCTGTCAGTGACACTTCATCTGAATTCTTGCCTGCATCGCTTGACCCTCTACTGGGACAGAACATTTCTGCAGTCAACACCACCTTACATGCTCTGAAAGCATTCCAATAGTTATGACAGGAGAGGGACTAATTTAAGCTTTAATTATGCAAATGCGTCTTGACGGGAATCTCAGCAGAGGTGATTTTCTTCCTTGCACCTTCCCCTCTCTCCTTCCTCACTGCGGTGGTTGCCCCACTCTGCATCTCAAAATAACATCTGCCAGAACTAATTTGATGGATTCTGTATGCCAAACACACACCTGGAAGTTAGAAGACACCTGCAGGTGCTGTCTCGTGATGACTTACACCCTGCCACCTTCTCTGCTGTGTTGACGGGTGGCCAGTGCAATGTGGGAATGTGAGGGTTTGGGTGTGCACAGATTCATTAGTCAATGGTTGGCAATGTGGAGATAATGCATAACATGCTGCTTATAAGTTCATAATTTATTTTACTTATTTATTTCATTTTTATCCCACCTTTTTCTGAGACATTTGGGTCTGAAGATTGGGGAAATATTGCTTAGCAAAAAGTTGAACAGCTGGATGTCATCCTAGAGTGAATGTTTTAAATAATTTCTTTTATGTAATTGACAAATGGAAAATTGGAAGACTTCTCTCTCTCTCTCCTCTCTCTCACACACTCAGTCACTCTATCTCTTTTTTTATCTTATTCCTTTTCTCTCTTTTCTTATGTTTTCCTGGGTGTCCTTTGCTCTGGACCATTATTGGAATCCAAGGATTACACACACACGAAGGTGATAGCTGGTTGGTAAAAAACTCTGTGTGAGAGGCAGGGAAGGGAAGATCTCCCAAGGTGAGAGATTGGGAGAAGAAAGGGAAGGTCTCAGGTGAGTGCTGGGAGGGTCCGCCTCTGTCTTTGTGAGACAAAGGTTAAGAGCTACCTTTGTGAGACGACTCTGCATTTCCTTTCCTCCCCCCCCCTTTTGTTTCTATTTAGATTAGTTTCTTCTGTTGTATTATATTATGAAAAAGCTTTAATAAAACCAAATGGGGAAAGAAACCTCACAGGACATTTTTTTTTGCTTTCTTGTGATGAGGACATTTGGTTCCCCAACACCCAGCAAATGTCTCTCCCAGTGGGAGGGTGCTGGACTGGTGGTGGGAGGCAGGCCAGGAAGACATCACATTTTCTCTTGTCACATCCTCCTCTCCCTTGAGGCAGGTGTCGCAAAAGCCAGCCGGTTGCATCTCTCCTCACTTCCCACCACAACCATATTAAGCAACAGGCTGCAGAAAGTAACAAGTAGAGGCGGGGGTGGGTGGGAGGAAGTTCAAGTCAGTCTGCATTTAAATGTGACCTTAACCTGATTTGCAGGTTTTGAAACAATGCAGAAACCAGAAACACAGCCATCCCTCAAAATCCCACAGGCTTCTCTGAAATTTGCAGCGTTCTCCAGCCAAAATATGCTTACAAAAAATAGCATGTGCTATGGAAAAGTGTATACAAAAATGCATACATTAGTGAAAATAACACTAAAAAATGTATTATATTAGGGAAAAATTTTGTGCAAAGATGGGTTTACTTTAGGGAGACTTGCATATAAAAATGTGCATAGGAGCAGAAATTCACACGAATGATTTTCCCTGAGATTTTTTTTTTTTTTAAAATATGCAGATCTGGGAATGTGAAGAATGAAGCTTAAGAATGGCAAAAAGGAGAAACTGAAATGAGCAAATCCACCTATCCCTATGACCTTTAGGTTCATTTTTATTTTATTTTAATTCTAATAATGGGGGACACGGGTGGCGCTGTGGGTTAAACCACAGAGCCTAGGACTTGCCGATCAGAAGGTCGGTGGTTCGAATCCCCGCGGCGGGATGAGCTCCCATTGCTTGGTCCCAGCTCCTGCCCACCTAGCAGATCGAAAGCATGTCAAAGTGCAAGTAGATAAATAGGTACTGCTCTGGCGGGAAGGTAAACGGCGTTTCCGTGTGCTACTCTGGTTTCGCCAGAAGCGGCTTAGTCATGCTGGCCACATGACCTGGAAGCTGTACGCTGGCTCCCTCGGCCAATAAAGCGAGATGAGCGCCGCAACCCCAGAGTGGGTCACGACTGGACCTAATGGTCAGGGGTCCCTTTACCTTTACCTTTAATTCTAATAATGTTTAATTGTTTTTGAATTATTGCTTTCCCCAACTGTTTTTACTTGTTTCTGTTTTAGCTGTAAGCCACTTAAGCCCTTGTCAGGGGAAAAAGTTCAAACTTTAGCGGAGATTGCTACATTGCAAGGGGTTGAACTAGATGACCGTAAGGGTCCCTTCCAACTCTACAATTCTATGAGTAGACTAAAAACAGATTAAAACAGGCACCAGCTTTCTAAACATCTGGCTTGCCTAAACAAAGACTGATGTTAAGAGGCAGGGACTTCCAAAGTGTAGGTGCTGCCACACTAAGAGATTGAGTACTTATAAATGCAGAATAGGAATTATGTGGCGGCTGTAGTAATACCAGTTCTGATCATTGAAGTGTTTGAGTTGGCGCATCTGGTGTAAGACAATCTCATAGGTAAACTGGTCCCTTGTTGTTAAAGCCTTTATATACTAATAGCAACACCTTGAACTTGTCCCATTAGCAAATTGGCAACCAGTGCAGATCTGTGAGCACAGCTGTTGTATGACAAGACCTCATTCCTGTCAGCAATCATGCTGCAGCATTCTGCACTCACTGCAGCCTCTGGATCAAGCACAAGGGAAGCCTCACAGAGAGCACAGAAGTCACCAATGCATGAACTACGCCTCTAGATGTAAATTTGCTGGTCCTTTTTGATATGCGGTCCTGCCTTTTGCTTGCTGCTTTCAAGGATGACTGACCTGTGGTCACTGAGCAAACGGCTGGCTAGCTGCGTTTGCTTCCTAGTTTGCTGTACACTCCATTTCCTATGACGGAAAATGGCGAGGTTAGTAATGTGATCCATGTCTTTTGCCTCTATTTCCTTGAGCAGAGAAGTGACAGAGGGGAAAGAGAGGAGCTGGTCTCTCTGGTGAAGCTTGAATAAAGATATTTGGGATGCAGCGTGTGAGAATGAAATGATGCTCAATGCTGGGAGGAGATTCAGAGCACCAAGGAGATGCTTCTGATGGCTGGTGTGTCCTTAAAGACAAAATAGAGGCAAGCCATGAGCAAAGAGGGGATGTCCCATTCTGTTTCTGGAACGGCTCCTGTGCCTTTCAGTTTGAACATAAGAAGACCAAAAGAGGGCCCACCTAGTCCAGCAACTGGTTCTCACAGTGACCAATCAATGCCCATTATGGGGAGCCCACAAGCAACACTTGAGTCTCTGCTCCTGTGGTTTCCAGCAACTGGCATTCAGAAGCATTGCTGCCTCCAACTGTGGAGGTATAGCTATTGTGGCTAGTAGCCATCAATAGCCCTCTTTTCCATGAATTTGAATCCTTTTTTAAGAACCTTTTCTGGCTCTACAATGTCCTTTTGGAGGTGAGGCAGCCAGAGAGACCCATGTTCAGCATTTGGAGGACAATGCAGCGCTGGGCATTCTCCCGTTGCTCTCTGGACCTCCTTCCTTTCACTGAGGTGTCATTTCGGAAGATTCCTGCTTGCATGGGTGGCAGAGGTGTGATTTGCCGTGCCCCCTAAATCTCCTGGTGCTGACTGCCTCCTGCTCATTAGGGCTTTCGGGCGTGGAGAGGGAAGAGCTGGAGGCCTCTTGATCAGAGCTGGGGATTCAAAGTGGTTCATGAGTGGAGTCGGATTTCTAATTATCCCTCTTTAATGAGCACCCAGCCTGCTTCAAGGGGCTCCTTTGGGGCTAAGCACAGATCCAGGCAGCTTTAATTACCTCTTTCCTCCTTCCATCTGCATTAATCCCCATCTCCATCTCCCACCCAGCTCCTGCCTGACTTTTTTCTTTTCATGTTTGGTGTGTGTGTGTGTGGTTATTATTATCAGGAATGGAATCATTTCCTCTCATATTTATAATTTGCATTCTGATCACATCTTGGGGAAAGTTAAGAAAGCAGAAGTGTAAATGAGGACCTGCGTTGGTTGCGGATTTATTTTCTCAACGTGGGAGATGGGTTGCTGTGAAAAGCTTCAGGTGCTTGAGACTTAATTCAATTTGGGGATGGACCTTTTTCCTGCATTACTGAGGGCTCTTCCTCAGCCCTGAAGATTGCTATATGTGGTGAAGTGGATAGAATGTCAGAATAGGAGCTGGGAGACCAGGGTTCAAATCCCCGCTCAGCCATGAAGCTCATTGGTGACCTTGGGCCAGTCACTGACTCACAGGGTTGTTGTGGGGATTAATTGAGGAGAGGGAGAACCATGTATGCCATCTT